CACACACACACACACACACACACACAGTATAAATAACCACTAGAAGGCATAAGGGAGATTTTTTAGTTAAAAAATAATTTGTGTCAGGAAAAATATTTTTTCCCATGGGGCTCACCGGAATGTGTACAACCTTCCAAGATCAAAGGATGGTAGCCACAGGACCTCTGGCAGTTGTCCACCCCTGTTCTCCCATGATGCAGATCTAGGAGAGCACTAGGAAGCAACATTATTCCCAACTGACACCATAAACTAAAACATTTCTCAAGGTCCTGAGCACTATATACAATAATAAAGAATGAGACTTGTAGCAAGTAGTAGGTATTGCAATGTACAAAAGAGGAGCATTCTATGCTACTGATGTAATACTGGAGTGCATTGGGGGGACAGTATTGGGAAATATTGATAGCATAGACTGGCATCCTGTCTTCCAAGCAGACAGAGTTACACACTCCTGATTCATAACTGAGTTGAACATCAAGTGGGCTGACTGTAGCAGCAAATGCTAATTTGGTTATGTAATGCAATTCCTTTGTGCATTCTTGATTAACTTGTGGAACATTCTATGTCTGAAATGGCTTTAATGCAGCATCCTATTCAATTTAAATTCAATACTTTCACAAGTAAGCCTCTTTCACATCAAATTTTGTAACTAAAGAAACATTTTCTCTCATTTACTTAACTACTCATAATAGCTATATATTCCCTCCAAGACCAGCAGTAGGGTTTTAATCCATATCTGCTGTAGCCTATACTGTATGACTCTTTGCCATCTTATGGTATCTTTACAACAATCCTTTGAAGCTGGCAAGGCTCACTTCATGTTTGTATTTCAGTATTTTTGGATCATGTATTAAACACTGACAACTGCCCTAGAATGCTAAAAAGTAAGATGGGGATAATTCTTGGTACATGCGCTCATAATCTCAAGACTAGGCCACTGTAACGCGTTCTACATGGGGCTACCTTTGAGGCTGATGCGGAAACTTCAGGTGGTGCAGAATGCAGCGGCCAGACTCCTTACTGGAGTGAGAAAACACCAACATATTTCTCCTGTTCTGGCCAAACTGCACTGGCTGCCCATCCGTTTCCGCATTGACTTCAAAGTTGTAATGCTTACCTATAAGGCCCTAAACGGTTTAGGAAGTCACAAAAGCAGCAAAGCCAGGGAGCTGGACAGGGGACACATTGTATTTGTCTTCAGTGTGGAAGGGATTGTCACTCTCGAATTGGCCTTCTCAGCCACACTAGATGCTGTTCTAAAACCTCTATTCAGAGCATGTTACCATAGTCTCTCGAGACTGAAGGATGCCTACAAAGATGGGGAATACAGTAGGAGCTCTACTACATCAAAATAAGTATATAAATACATCCTCTTCAGCGTCTGGTTTTTCCCAAACATCCAATCAGATGCTTCCAGTAAATCCACAGGTAGAAAAGGTGTGAAGTCTCCATTATTACCTGCTCCAGGCCAACAACTGGAATTCAATGACATATCATCATGCAGGAATGAGGGGGAAAAATCACATGGTGAAATAGTTCCTCTGTTAGCCTGGAGTCATGCTAGCAGGGGAAGAATACATCTGTAACATATTTTCAAGATACCCAATGTGGTGTAGTGACAGACTAGGACTCAATAGACCTGACTTTGGAGAACCACTCTGCCAGGCAGAAAATCTGACTTTGGAGAGACTGTGTTAAGGAACACTGTAGCTTTATCCTAGAGACACCATTTTGTATGTTTGCTTTTCTTCAACTGAATTCTTCCGTCTTCTCCTCTTCCTCAACTAGATTATGGGAAAAAAGAGCTTAGAAATGGCACTTTCTGGATCCCAACCCTAGAATTCCCCCCCTGTAGTCCAGGAAAGTCCCAGATCCCTGTAGTCCGGAAAAGTGGCTTTTGGAAGCTCTGAAAATAATGTAGCTGAGATTAACATGCCTCTGAATGCTTAGAAATGCGTCTGCCCTGTTGGCTTGGCCTTAAAGGCCACCATGGCCGCCTGAGGCGAAGAACGAGGGAGCCGATTTGGCTACACGGCTGGCACCCGCCCAGGAATCCAGAGAAGGAAACCAATTAGTACCAATGCAGGCAGGGAGCACGGAGGACACTTTGCGCGCTTCCGTAAACACCACTCGGTCCCCTCCCCTCTCTCGGGAAGGTAGCATTTTCACCGGAGGGGGGGAATAGAGTCCATTCCACAGGACCCAGTTTCCTCCTTTCCCCCGTCTATGTTATGTTATTATCGCGGACGGAACGAAATGAGGTCTGACTGCCGACGACCACGCTTATTTTGTTGACGCGCGCCGCCGAAGCTTCGCCTCCCACGCGGCGAAGGCTTGCTCCCCCTCTCCCTTGGGGAAGTGGAAGCGTCCAGGCAGCTGCTAATAGACAGCCAAGGACGATGTCTCACTAAATCTTTCCCCCGTCTATGTTATGTTATTATCGCGGACGGAACGAAATGAGGTCTGACTGCCGACGACCACGCTTATTTTGTTGACGCGCGCCGCCGAAGCTTCGCCTCCCACGCGGCGAAGGCTTGCTCCCCCTCTCCCTTGGGGAAGTGGAAGCGTCCAGGCAGCTGCTAATAGACAACCAAGGACGATGTCTCACTAAATAGAGGGAGGAGGAGGGGAGCGGGTTAAAGCCCCGGTGGGAACAGCTGAGCGGCTGCAAAGAAAAGCCTGCCTCCCGCGAGGAGAATACAGATCTCTCACTCCTAAAGGGACATCTCTTCGGGTGAGTCAGTGAGGAGTGTGTGTGTGTGTATGTATGTATATATATGTGTCTCCTTTTCTTTCTTGTTTGGGATTGTGTAGCTCTAACCCCCGCTTCTCCTTTCCGGTCGTGGCTTGTGTTCGGGGCAGCTGGGGAAGGGGGGGGATCAAGGTGACTTTTTTTTCCTTCTCCATTTTTCTCCCAAGGCAGGTTATTCTCTTCCCCCCCCTTTGGAAAAACATAGAACCCTGTATGGCGCTCAGTCCTCCGGTTTTGCTTTTTTTTTGCCGAGGGGGGAGGTCAGTGAGACTTTACTCCGAAGTAATCGTGCCTCGGATTGCAGCCTTATACTGAGCGGTGCGGGAGTGGGGGGGGGACAGAAAAACACGCGCACACACCGATTCCCTTCCGCCATGAGCGAGGGCAGCGCGTCGCTCATTGCAAGCCTAATTACAGAACCCGGGCAATTATTTTTTGGATGTTTATATATTGCTGTCCCGCTGTTCTCCTTCGCCAGGACCCTAAATTCTTTTTTGGGCTCGCTTTGTTCTCTGACACACCCCCCCCATTCGCACGCGCGCGGCCCCCCCATCATCCCCCTTCGTGCGCGCGAGTCTCTCGTGGCGTGTGAACTCAGGGGACTGGCAATGTTTTCCAGCAAGGCTCGGGGTGTAGCAGCATCTCTCCCCCCCCTCTCCTTTCCCCGAGACAGTAGTCGCCGGAGAGGGAGCGGAAGGGAACGTGTGTATGTGTGTGTTTTGAAAAGCTTGCCTTGGAAACGGTGGCTTTGTTTTGACCAGAAAGTGCCAAAGCGCCTGTGCTTCAGAGTAACTGCCAAAAATATCTCGGCGGGGAGGGGAGAACTGAACCAGATGGAGGAAGAGGAGGAGGAGCCCTCTGAGCCCCGGGAGCTCCGCTTGCAAGACCGGGAAGGGGCGTCCGGGAACGAGGAGGGCTGGAGAAGCCGTGCAAGAGAGGGGCGCTGCTGCCCAATCTCGGAGCGGGGGAGCTGAGCAAGGGAAGACTTGGGGTTCGGGTCGGGGGGGGGACAGGAGGAGACGTTGACAATTGGGCAGACTGGTTCTCCGGACCTCTCTTCCGAATCGTGCTTCTCCCTTCCTGCTGCCGCCAGTGGAAAGGTTTCCCAAATAACATTTAAAGTTCCGCGGAGAGTAAATGAAAATGCCTTTTTTTCAGGATGTATGCTAGGGTAGAATTTCACCTGGCTGATCTCTGTGGATGAGATCAAAGTCATTGACAAATAGTCCTCGGGTGAAAATCCCTGAAGTAGAGGTAGCACCATCTTGAATGTTGTTGTTGTTTTCTTTCTAATTCAGCCCTGTCCTGCATATTAATAATAATGTTATTTTCCACTTGTGGGTGCTGCTGATATATAGCCAGACAGGCAGCATCCATGGAGGCTTGAGACAGCTCCATGATATCTGTAGGAGCAAAAATGGGGGTGGGGTGGGGTTTAAAGATGGGAGAACTTCTACAATGGGTGGGGTTGAGCATACTTTCGTTCGTTTCGTTCGTTTAGTCGTTTAGTTGTGTCTGACTCTTCGTGACCCCATGGACCTGAGCATACTTAATGTCTCATAATGTTAATTGATAAAAGGAAGGATGCTAAGGAAAACAGGAGGATGGAGGATTCGTGATTGGAATCCTGAGTGGGCATATTTGATAGTGCAAGTTCCATTGTGCCTACTTATGTATTTGACACCATATGCTGTTCTTTAGAAAATGAGTAGTGGATTTCAGACTTCCAGTGTTCTGAAGCAAAGTTTTCATTTTGTTTAGAATAGGCATATAATGGAGAGAGAAGCTAACTACTGGGTGTATGGATGCTGTTTATTTTTCCTGCCATTGTACTTTAGCGTAGAGAAATCAGCTGAAAACATTGCAAATGTAGAGTAATGCCTTGTTCAGAGATAGGCAGAAAAGCAGGCACAGGCATAAAAAGAACCAGAGATATCACGGAAGTCCTAATCTGTCCATATGTCTTCAATGGCAGAATAGTAAACCATTGCTGACGCAGGTTTGTGATTAGTTCAGTAAAGAGAACTAATGAGTCCATCTAAACTGAAGTTGCCAGTGTGGTAATCCTAAACTATAGGAATACTTATTGGGTCACAAGGCTGCTTGGACAGACTGGAGGTAGAATATTGCAAGTTTGGAAACACATCTGTGCTAAAGAACTGAAGACAAGGAGTATGGAGCAGAAGTAAGGTACTGACTATCATTTTTGCCATGCAATATACAGGTGGTGAGTGAAGATCATCTGTATACTGCATGTCTCCAATTGAAGACAAACGGAGAGCACTGAGCAACAAGGGGAGGTGAAGTTTGCAGAATTGCAAAACAATCTAAAACTGTTACTGTCACAAGTTACAGTACCTAAAATGACAAATCACACACTCTAAAATTGCAAGTATCTGAAATCACAAATTAAAATGTCTGCTATAAACACTATAAAAGCAAAGGTTAAAGGCAAACTGAATACTTGTTTATTCCTGAAAGCTTGTACAAATAGATGTGTACAATAAAAAGTTTTTAATTGGCATCTGAAAACAGAACTGTAGGAGTTCAGATGTAGAAAACAGACTGGGTTGGGTGGGTTCAAGCCTGCAGTGCTGTCATCCTGACAAAATGAATATCGGCCTGCAGCTGCTTTTAAATGGGCAAGAGCCATTTATGGATTTTCTATATCATCTGTGTTGCAGCCCTAAGGGAAACTGAGGAAGAACTTAGCAGAACTCTAAGCCTACTAAACTGTATGCCTTCTGTAGAATAATCAATAAGTTATAATGTCCTTGAAGCTCATATAATGCTTATAAAATTATCACCATAACCCAAAATATAGGTTAATGTTATGTGCTGTCCATGGCCTAATTCGCAAATGATTGGCTCCATACTCTAGCAAGGGCAGTCTGTCTCTCCTGGTAACCTGCAGGAAGGGTAGGGAAAGGTTCTGGTGCAAAGGAAGGAAGGGAGGACTTCTTTCCCCTATTTTTGGCTATAGACCCCCTTGGACCATTAGCTTATGCCTTCTGACAGATTAATTTAGAGCTGTGTAGGTTTATGTTTTAGACTTAGCTCCCAGAATGCACTGGTCAGTGTGGAGGAATTCCCTGGAGAATTTTGGAAGATGTACAGTAATCCAAAATACACATCTGCACATCTCTAATTACCTACAAGGGAACACAGCTCTTTAATAGGGGGGACTTCATTCCTGCACTCTGATTAATGGGTGAATGTTCTTTAAATGGCCTACAAAGAAACACATATTGTTAGAAATTGAGATGTTTGTTGTCCTCAGCTGGAAGACCAGAAAGAACTGAAGGAGCTGGCTGTGTGTGTGGGGGGGGGAAGTGTCATACAGGTTCCCCAAGGCAATCCATAACTTACTCTGTCCTTGTGTAAGTTGTTTGTTTGTTTATTTGTTTATATCCCACACCATCTGGCAACCAGGCCACTCTGGGTGGCTAACAACAGTATTAGAAACAATATTAAAACACGATTAATAATGAATTAATGCGTAACCAAATAGGATACAGTGGTGCCTCGCTAGACAGTTACCCCGCATGATAGTTTTTTCGCTAGACATTGGCTTTTTGCGATTGCTATAGCAATTCGCAAAACAGTGATTCCTATGGGGGAATTTTGCTGGACAATGTTTGGTCCCTGCTTCGCAAACTGATTTTCACTAGACGATGATTTTGACAGCTCCCTCCGTGCTCGCAAACAGGTGTTTTCGGGACCTAAGCTTCGCAAAACAGCTGATTGGCGGTTCACAAAGTGGCTTTTCTATGGCCGGGCTTCGCTAGACAACGACGATTCTTCCCCATTAGAACGCATTAAACAGGTTTCAATGCATTCCAATGGGGAAATGCTTTTCGCTAGACAATGATGTCGCTAAACAGCGATTTCAGTGGAACAGATTATCATCGTCTAGCGAGGCACCACTGTAAATTAAATTGAAACAGATGGTAAATAAAGGTGGTAAAAGGTGTGATGGAGAGGATGGTAAAAAGGAAGGGCAAGATCTTAGTGAATTGCCTATGCACTGGCTGAGTTACAAGCACACAGACTGTGAGCCCTCCAGGCTTGAGTATCAGAGCCTTCCTGATACCTGTTGAGCTACCTCCCATTTTGGTCAGTATTGCGTTATTCAGTGTAGAACAAGAAATTTATTTATTTATTTATTTCTACTTTCTACTTTAAAAAAAAAACAATGTTGAAATACTCTCTTAGAAGAAGTAAGCACCAAGCCATTTGCTGGTATGTGATGCCATGTGTCAGGTACAATTCGTGGAATTGTGAAACTATGGGATTCTCGGTATCTGTATCCACACAGTGTCTTTACCTTTACTGCAGTTGTGGGCAAATTAGTTTAATAACGTTATACTTGCCACCCTTGCAGTACAGTGGACCCTTGACTTACAGACGGCTCAACTTACAGACTTTTCAAGTTACAGACTTCTCTGGCTACAAAATTTAGATTCGACTTGCAGCCGGAGAATCGACTTACAGACCAGAAAAAAACCAAAATGGAAAAAAATAGAATAAAAACTAGGGGATTAATTGGTTTTCAATGCATTGTAGGTCAATGGAGATTCAACCTACAGACTTTTTGACTTGCAGCCACCGTTCCAATACGGATTAGTTCCGTAAGTAGAGGGTCCACTGTATTCATTTTACTGAAATTGTGAGAGATGAATTATATAGATTAATCTACTAGTTTAAGCACTTGGTACACTCCAGCAGGAAGGATATAAACTGCCACAGAAATAGACATTACTTCAGAGTTTGTGCCTGATGTATGGAACTGAAATTTGTTTTCTGGGCTTTGCTGTATTATTAGTCATGTGAGATTGGTGTACATGTAGAGAAAATGGAGAGCCAGAGAGTAGGACCAGGGTCTGAGCATGTAATGGCCATATTAGTAATGCAGTGAGCCTTCGTCTTTCACTTGCCTTCTGCATGGAGAGGAATGGCTAGAGGTGGTCATGTGTGCTAAGAGCAGAGGAGTTTATGCCCTTCCAGCAGCAAATGTTTGCACCCTCTACATTTTGGTGTCCTTAGTCAAAGTTTTGGTCATCTCAGCCCGGAGGTACCCACAGCTCTTTTCACAGAAATGACAGTAAGAGGGTATAATAGTCTAAACTCAAACAGAAATTCATCTCTTCCTCTTTATTCCTGCCCCAAATAGATAAGGCAGCCCTTTTGCCCATAGGTGGAGTGCACAATAAAGACATGGCACACTAATTTTCTTTTCTTTATCTCGCCCCATAGATCTTCTAGCACCTTCTCTGTCGTCTTAAATGCACAAGGTGTTGAAAAGCATAGCTCCCAATGACCTGTACCAGATTCTGTGTGAGGAGCAACGTTTGACCAGGTAAGGATGTAAACGAGTCGACAAGATATCCGTTATATAGTCTAGCTTCTAATTACTGTAAGACTGAGGTAGAAAACCATGATAAGTGTACCTATGTGCCCTGAAAACATCTTGCTCATTCTGGTTTTAATGTAGTTCATCGCAACTACTTGAGTAACTTATACATACACTGAAAAAATGTAAACAGTGTTATTACGTTATTGTTTATTTAAAATGAACAGTATAATGATGGGAATGTCAGGTTCTGTTTCAAGATCTATCTTTAAAAATAATCCAGGATATCTGATTTCCCAGTGCAATTAGGACACTTCAGATGTACGTACATAGTACTGTATGTGTCCGTCAAGCTCCATAACTGAAACACATAGAGTCCTTGATCTTTTTTCAGCTCCTGCCTTGCACCTATTTTCAGCCCCTTAATAGATCACTGTGTCAAATATGTATGGACCGCAACTTTGTGCAGTATAGAGTTCTGCTGAGTGCTAGAGTTGGCAGCAAGGAGCAGGGAGCTACTTTATTTCCTGTCTGTAATGATTTTACTTGTATTCAGTCACAGTTTTGTTCCACTCAGTATCTGTATCAGTCTGTATTTTTTAAAAATCACTGTAGACAAATTTCCCTAAAACACCTGTTTTATATGCGTATTTTTGAGCAAAGAACGGCATTTTATGTTTAAAGCCATCCAAAGGGTATCTGAGATCTTGTCTATTTGTACCAATTAGGTTTCTATGTTTAGAAATACAAACCAAATAAAATGCTCCCCATGCCAACACAACTATGTCCAAGATCCCCAATTGGCAGATGGTTCTAAAAGATATCTGGAAAAATGTGTTCTCGCTACTACCACTGATGGCAGTGGACATCTTAAGATACCGTTGTGAATAATCAAGTGGGAACAATGGAAATATCTAAATATCTGTGACTTTCCAGCAGGAGTGGGCAAAATGTGGTCCTCCTGATGCTAGCCTTGCCAACATAGGCAATGAGTATGAATGGCAAACTTTTTTTTTTGACTTATATACCGCCCTATAGCGCTACAAGCACTCTCCGGGCGGTTTACAATTTAATTATACAGGCTACACATTGCCCCCCCAGCAAGCTGGGTACTCATTTTACCGACCTCGGAAGGATGGAAGGCTGAGTCAACCTTGAGCCGGCTACCTGGGATTTGAACCCCAGGTCGTGTTGTAGTCCAACAACATCAGGTGATACACAGTTTGTTCATAAAGTATAAAGCGTTCCACTATGCTGATACACATGACAGAATTTGTCATCTTGAAAGCCATTGAATCATATACCTGTTCCAAATTATACTGGAACACAAAACTGTGAAATGGGCAATTGTCTCCTAACCACTTGGGCACTGTGTGTAGTTCTAACAGATGGAGTGATAGCACCATCTCAGATTTCAACCTTGGATTCACACAATGGAATTCTCTTCCATGAAAAGCTTTCTATGTGCTAGTCACCTATGTTTTGGAATGATTTATTACCTATCACGAGTGCAATCTTCACTTCCTCCAGACATGCACTATGAAATGGTGCAACTCAGGCACAGTTTCAGCACATCACTTGACCTTTTAAAGAACTAGGTTTGGCTTTGTCAAAATAGCTTTTCTTCTGTAGGCTGATCTGTGCTGCTGCTGGTCTAGTTATTGCCCAAGAATAAAATGAATTCTTTAGTGTCCATGACAATGAATCATACTGTGTTAGTTTGCAGCTGCAGTGGATGTGCTCATGTTGCAGGCCAGGAGGGAATAAAAAAGTGGACATGTTTGCTGTGTACAGGAACATGCGTGCTTTGAGACAGAGGGGGTTTATATTTTAATTGTGTCGGTGCATCAAAACAGAAGGCAGAGCTTGAAAGAATAACATTTTAGACTAGTTTTCAGAGTTGTAGCCATGTTAATCTGTGTGAGCATTTCAACAAGAAACACAATACAAAACAAAAGCAAAGAAGGGGGGGGGAGTCTCTTATTTCGCTTTGGTTTTGTTTGAATTCCTAGAGTCCCTCAGCTAGCAAAGCCTATGCTCCTACTGGCTAGGGGACTCTTGAGAACCGTAGTCCAAAAAGTAAATGTCCAAGCTCTGAAAGCACCAGATTTGTGGTTTAAGTTCCACCATGAATTGTCATGGTTCTTTAAAGCTGTGAGATAAAAGATATCTGCCACGTACCATAACATGCTTGTAAGTGTAACATGTTTACTACAGTGTGGATATGGTAAGGGACTTTGGCAAGGTTCTTGCTAATAAACAATATACTGTATCTAATTCTGGCAATTTGTCCACAGGTAGGACATAGTTTGAGTAATTGCATGGTGACTGTTTAAATTCCACATGTAGCTTTAAATGGGATGGTGACATATTTGCTTCCTGTCCTACACGTGTGTCAAGTACCTGGTTAGTACATATTCATAGTCACATGGCCTACCCTGGAAATTATTGGTCTTCCTCAGAACGTGAACTGCTTTTGTCACATTATGTCCTGAGGACAAGAACTTATTCTCTATTATCAGGGTAAAAGTATTACAGTAATTACTTTTCATATCACTGGTTCCTTAAAGAAGAGAGTGGGTATTACCTTAGTCGCTAAAGAAAAGAAGTGGTGTGGAAAGCTTGCTGGAACATTTTGAACTTGTTGGGTGACCTTCCTATCAGTTGGGCTTGTGTACCATTTAATTGGCTGATCAAATATTGTCAACTGACTGGTCGGTTCCCTGCCTAGTCATTTGGCCATAATTAAATATTGTCAAATATTTCATACAGCCGATAATGCTGTAAGGTGGGTGCCAGTCCAGTTTTTTAAATTTCATTATGGTATAGTTTGAAGGGTTGTAATGAACACTTATCAACTCATACTGCTGGGATTTTTAGATCAGTTCTGTCAACCCCTTAGATGTCCTTGTTTCTTCTGACCTTAGCTGCAATTTGCACAATATCAGGGAAAATGATTTTTCCAGGAAAAATATAATGTTGTGAATTATCTATGGTATAATGCAAACATACACAAATAGACAAATAGCTAGACAGTGCCCAGTATTCCTGTTAAGTGAATCTTTTGAATTCTCCTTGATAGCATGACTATAAGGGCTATGGTGGTCAGCACCTGCAGTTGAAAATTTATTATTAAACTAGTGGTTATTTGTTAGCAAGAGTAGGAGTGAGAACTGTTTGCTGCCAAACTAGAGCTTAGAAAAGTTATACTATTGAACTATAGTACCAAAAATCCTACACTGAATGGTTCTGGGAGATTAATTTTAAAAACAAACAAACCTGGAACAAAATGTTTTCCATTCCTGTACCCAGAAACCTCTCCTCTATGTGAGATTCATTAACAGCATATTTTGTTATCTGGGCTCATGGCAAAGAATTGTTAGAGAAGTTCCATCATCCCTTTAGTAACTTTCATCTCTCCATCAACCTGAGACTGGATTAGTCTACGCAACAAAGACACTTTCTGGACACCTTGCCCAACTGTACAAGGGACATGCATGCACTATGTTGTACCGGAAATCCACCAACCATTACACATACTTACATGCGTCAAATGACTACCCAGAACTCACCACCAAGTCCTTTATATACAGCTAGCCCTTCTGATATAACTAAATTTCTTACACAGCAGTATTCACTCAACATGGTGAAAAAGCAAATTGACAGAGTTAGATTGACAACCAGGAATAAAAAGCTGTGAGATCCATAGGAGAGAATGAGAGGACCCCATCTACATCTCCCAGTGGAGACCAGTAAGACCAGTCATCAACAATCTGCAACTCACAGTGCACAATAATACTTCCCTTCCCCAAGCTTTGGGTGTCAGGCCAGTACTGTACATCCCACAGATAGCCCCCAGTTTTAAACAACTGATGATATACAACATGCAACACAACAGGGAAAAGCAATAGGAACAAAAACTCACTTCAACCCTAGATACCAGTTACAGTCGTGCCCCGCTGGACGATTACCCCACTCTACGACGAATCCACATTACGTTGATGTTTTTGCGATTGCAAAACGATGTTTTAAATGGGGGAATTTCGCTTCACATTGATCGGTTCCCTGTTTTGGGAACTGATTTTTCGCTTCACGATGATCAGCAAACAGCTGATCGTTGGGTTTCAGAATGGCCGGCGGCTTTCAAAATGCCCCCTCCCCGCTGTTTTCTAGGACGGATTCCTCGCTATACAGGCACCGAAAATGGCTGCCATATGGAGGATCTTTGCTGGAAGGTGAGTTTTTCAGCCCATTGGATGAGTTTTCAATGCGTTTCAATGGGATTTTTAAAATTTCATTTGACTATGTTTTCGTTCTACAGTGATTTCGCTGGAACGAATTAACATCGTCAAGCGAGGCACCACTGTATATCCCTATATCTACACTGGTAGAACTATTAAGGATCCTAACAATTTCAGCTACACCATCACAAGCTTATTTGCTCATGCATTCTCTAATATGATTTATGCTATATTCTGCTAACAGTGCCCCTCTGTATTTGGCATAGGACAAAGGGGACAATCTCCTCACAAAATAATGAATTGACATAACCCTGATACCAAGAAGACAACTTGGAGAGATCAGTTTCAGAACATTTAATCTTCCTAGGCCACTCCGGCCAAAATCCTCTGGTGTGATTTATGCCAGCATAAGTAACATGATGTCACCACAATGACAGATCATTGGTAATTAGATTCCCCAGTGCAATTCTTGATACATTTTTTGTTGTGCACAAGTCAGATTGTTTCATGCATGACCTGGAATTTTAGTTGGGACCCTTCAATTAGTGTCAAATTAAAGACTTTCAACCAGGGATTATTTAATTAGTCATTAAGGAGTCTCTGCTTTGGTTCTGGCTTACATACAGAGCCACCTGACCTGCACACAATAAGGAATCACATGAGAACTCACAGCAGGGACTCTAATTGGGGGCAGCCTGCCAGTACACTGAAATTGTTTATTGTATGTGGGTATAAATTTCACAAGAGAATTTTTGCCCCTGTTATAATAATCAAAGTGGCTGTTATAGGAAAAAAAAGAGGAACTACAAGGAAGGTTGGAGTGGGATATTGCTGAAGGAGCCTACCTACACAAGTTCTAGTGCATCTCTAAGGGTTTAAATAGAGATCTTCTTAGCACACACTACAGTATATATATTGATAGTTCAGTTTTCCTAGAAAGATATAATCGTAGTCTTTCCTAACATACCCTGACTTCTGCTCTAAAAACAATTCTGACAGACAGCTAATAAACCCTGCAATTTTAAATAATTAATATCTGGGCAGTCCAATTCTGGTGTTAACAGTGTACTGTCATTTTGTCTACTGTTTGTCCTCTGATTGAGTCACAAGCCCTACTGTCATGGGGAGATATAGAAGATGGCACAGTAGGAGCGCTTATGCTTCAGAGTAACTGCCAAAAATACATCAGCTGGGAGGGGAGAACTGAACCAGATGGAGGAAGAGGAGGAGCCCCTCTGGGCCCTATACATCAGCTGGGGGGGGGGAGAACTGAACCAGATGGAGGGAGAGAAGGAGCCCCTCTGGGCCGTGTGGGCTGTCATTCATAATTCCATCTGGATTTTTTCTGGTGCCCCAGAAGCCACACACACCCATGTGATCTGGCTTTTCTGCATTATGAAATTCCTCTGAATGATTTGGCTTGAGCTTGAATCTGGGGGGAAAAAAACAGTAGCTGCTAGAAAGAATGGAAATATAAGATAAAATACTCAAGACTTCTGCAATTGAGACATTAAATTATAAAGAGTGGAAGAATTCCAGATACTGTATTTCTTTGTTGTTCTAACCATGTGAATTGGCGTTCTTCCTTTCAGTATTTGACCAGGTGAATGTCATGTTATAGGCTATGAAGTTGCAGCCCACTTAAGGGATCCTAACAAGGCTTTCATAACTGAGATGTTTGAGGAATGGCTTTATCAGTGCTGCCCCATCCCTCCAGTGCATTTCCATGGATGAACGTGTAATCAGACTCAGGACTTTTGGGTTTTAGACCATGCCTTTTTTCTGCTACACAATGCTTGGTGACCAGATGAATGCCCAGTTCTAATTTTCTCAAGCTTTTGTTTTTCAGCCTTTGCCTTGCCTCTCCACAATCCGCAAAACAGAGAGAATACTGATACACCTTACAGGAATGTTGGAAGGATCGCTGCATCATTGCTGAAGTCTTTGTACTTAGTCACTTGTCTTCCTGGTTCTTTCTTCGTAGGCGAACGGCATCTATTTCTGCATAACTGTGCTAGTTTCGTTCTGTGAGCAGCTTGCTTTTATAGGTCAGTATAAGGTTTTGTTTGCTTATTAAACATTTCCAACCTACCAAATATCAACAGATCTCAAGTTAGGATACAATGAATCCTTCGAATGAAATCACATACATTCTATAGATTGTAACAGTTTGAACATTTTTAATTAAAATAGTTTAGCAGTTAAAACAATATTGCAAGAGGCTGAAGGACTGAATACAGATCATAATCTCTGTTATTATGAAATGCTTCAGGTTTTAACTTGGTGCTGAAATAAAGGCCATGTTGGTATCAGGCAGCATGTTTACAAACTGCAACAGGATTTCAGCCAATGTATATTCTAAACTACAAGCTCCTTGGGAATATAGGCCCTATCTGTTACCTGTAACACTGTAAAACATTACATAGACAGATAGCATACTACCATGACTGTTACTAATAATATTTGATATTAAGAATATTTAATGATATTTATGCAAATATCACAGAAAGACACTACTCATAGTTTTTATCTCCTTTGATTTCCACCCCCTACTAAAACACTGAAGGATTATATAATACGCCAGTTTATCATTTGTTACAGAAATCAAAGATCAAGCATCATGAATAATTTTATTGCCCAAATGATCTTCAAACAAAAGGAAGCCAATGAGCAGCCTTTAGATAGGCAAGCTTTGTTTATCCCTACTTTAGATACATGGAATATTTTTACCTGTGAGAATAGAATCTAGGTTTAGAATACAATTTTGTTTATCATGATTTAAATTTTAACGTCCTTGATTTTAAAGTCTCTTAGGAGCTTAGACTGTCTACTGAAACGAAAATAACCAATTCAAATTGTGGCCCAACCCCATTTCCAGATTTGTACACTTTGCCAAAATGCCTCTGAATGATGAGCAGAACAGCAACTGTGATTCTTCAAGGTTCTCTGAAAGTGCAGCTTCATCTTCCAGCGACTCTGAATACTCCAGGCAGAGTTTTACCAGTGACTCTTCAAGCAAGTCCACCTCCCCAGCTTGTAAGTTAGCTTTATGTGGTACAGGCATGTGAAATGCATGTGATTTTTATTTCTTGTATTTCACACACATAAACACTGTGTTTGATACTTTTCTGTGCAGATTCTTCAAAACAGAATGAGCTGTAATATAACAGGGCTCTCAACAACAAAGGTCCCCCCCCTTCAGGCCCCCCTCCTGTGTCAGTATATCTTGACAGATTATGCAGTGGTTTTAGGGTGACTGCATGCCCTCTTTTAGGGAGGATAATCCTCTATTTGCCGGGTGGCTATAGCGTAATCTTCTTTTGAAGACATCCTCCATTTGAAGGGCTGCCTAGCCTGCATATGGTCTAAAAACAAAGAGTAGGAGCCTTGAGTTCTCCTATTAATACCAAGCAATACCTGATCTTAGTGGGTGAACAGATCACTTTATCCTTGCCACTCAAGGATTCTGTTTAAGTTTTAGTTATAAAATTCATCTTTGATTATAGAACTTGCATTTGTACCAGAGAATGGCAAGTACTTGCAAAACTATGTTGTCTTCAGTGATTTTTTTTTAGTCTTCCTATGCCAAGAGTCCCTATAGAGACATCTTGCTGCACCAACACATTTTCCTGGCTTCCTGTGAAAATGTGATCCCATCTAATTTTTCTTTTACATTTGTTTGTTCATTCGATTTTTGCCTCTTGTCCTTGGAGACAAACGGCCAAATTTTGCACAGCTTAATTTACTTTTGGGGGGCGAATTATGCATAGTCTGGCATTTCCCTGCCCTTTCCAGGTGAAACCTGTGCAGAAAGGGCACCAGGAATTGTAATAATCCTGTGCACAATGACATTTTTTTTCAGGAAAAAATAAACATGTGAATGTCCTGAGAAATCCTATGAGATTTCTTGGGTGGGGGTGAGGGAATCACACAGATAAATATATCTGTGAGGCAGAAAGTTGTCTCTTAGTTTCACTCTGGAATGAGATACAGTGAGATTCATAAACACAGATAAATATATCTGTGAGGCAGAAATGGGGGTTGTCTCTTGGTTTCACTCTGGAATGCGATACAGTGAGATTCATAAATTCTAGAATCATGGAATAATTGAATTGGAAGGTGCCTATCAGGCCATTGAGTCCAGTCCCCGTTCAATTCTTAATCAGTACCTGTAAATGCGGATATGAACATTTATGTAGATCAGTACCCATTTGTTCTGTTTTTTTGTGGTACGTATCCATCTTTTTGATGGTATGTAAATGGCTGGCAGCAACAGGAGGCTCAAAGCAAGTAGCAATTAGAGCTAGGAAAACCTCTGTTTTAAGCAGCTCCGTAAACCCTTCCTTTTAACTACAGTTCACAGAATCCCCCAGCAATCCTTGCTAGACCTTTGGACAGTTGTAGCCCAAAATGTAGTTTCCAAGCTTTAGTGGCAATGCAACAGGAGTCCTGGAGCCCCGTCAGTTGCTGTGTATGCAGATAATCTAACGGAGAACATCACTGACAGTGGTCGGCCTTTTCTGAGAAACAGCTCATCCGTTGCTAGCAAGATAAGAGTGGCTGCTTTGGGAATATCCATCCTCAGGCTCAGTTTTTGACATTGCCACTTACAAAGCAACCCTGCAAAATATAAATTTTTAAACTGTTTTCATGTTAAGCTGGTGCGGTTGCCAGCTGTCAGGATACTGGCTGAAGTCTTGGGAAATTGCGGGGCCGCTTCATATCTCTAGGCAGGGATATAATTTCACAGCCTGAGCAGCACTGGAAGAGAAGGAATGGCTTTAAGGCTTGGGCAGTATCTTTAACAGCTACTGCTGTCTTTTAGATGTGTCAAATTTGGAAAAAGGCAACGAATGGAGCACCAGCATGATCTTTCACGATTCTTCTTGTTGCACAAGCCTTGACAGACGCAGTAGCAATTCAGAGCCTAGAAAAAGTCTCCCATTTGCCAACTTTTGCACATCTCACCTCTTCAACTCTATATGGGCCTGCCTCTGGTACAGTGGACCCTTGACTTACAGACTTTTTGAGTTACAGACTTCTCTGGCCGCAAAATTTAGGTTTGACTTGCAGCCTGAGAATTGACTTACAGACCAGAAAAAACCAAAATGGAACAAAAATGGCTGTTGCACAAGCCTTGACAGACGCAGTAGCAATTCAAAGCCTAGAAAAAGTCTCCCATTTGCCAACTTTTGCACATCTCACCTCTTCAACACTATATGGGCCTGCCTCTGGTATCAGGCTATGGTTCTGAAACCTTAGGAAATTGGAGGCTGGTGTCCTAACAACCCTATGAATACATGTCTGATGTACATGTCTTTCCTTTATTCCAGCAACAAGTCCTCCCAAAGTAGTTACATTTGATGAAATGATGGCAGCAGCCAGGAACTTATCAAACTTGACGCTTGCACATGAAATTGCTGTAAATGAGAACTTCCATTTGGAATGCATTGAGCATCCTCAGAACAGGTAAGTGAGAGAGCGTCTTAAAAAGGGCTAAAGCTACTAATGCAGGAACCTGTTCTAAAAATATTCAGAAATATTGGCAAGACACATGTAGCTTGAACACCACTAGGAGCTCCTTCAAAGTTTTTTTTTAATTAAGGAGAAGCAGTTATTTGTTACTTTTAGGCTTCTATGTATGAAATGTGTACAGTACTGTGGATTTTGGGCTGGCACTGCTATGAGGCAGCTTATAAAGACAGTTGTGTAGTGGTAAATTTGAAAGTGCAAGTACTCATCCTCACGTTCCCAATAGCTAGCCTTTCCAAGACAGTTCAAAATATGCAACTGGGCCAGTTCCTATAAGCGAATGAGAAGCAGCTCTTTTGTAAAGCTAATGGTTCTTAATTGCACACTCAAGACTACGTGCCCTCAAATACCTGTCATTATCGTATTCTGTTTCTGAGGAAATGACCCTTATTTCTTGGCATGCCACCATGGCAAGGCTCTTCTGTATCATAGCAGGAATACAGATCTATTACAGTTACAGTGGTGCCTCACTTGACAAGGATAATTCATTCCAGCGAAATCACTGTAGAGCGAAATCCTCATCAAGCGAAATAAAAAAGCCCATTGAAATGCATTGAAAAGTGGTCCAACATGTTCCAATGGGCGAAATACCTCAGCGTCCAGTGAAGATCCTCCATTGGGTGGCCATTTTCTGATGCCTGTGCAGCGAAAAATCCATCCTGAACACAGCGGGGAGCCATTTTGAACAGCTGGCGGCCATTTTGAAAACTCGACAATCAGCTGTTTTGATCGTCGTAATACGAAGAATCGGTTCCCAAAGCAGGGAACCGATTGTCGTAAAGCGGATTTTGCCCATTAAAACATCGTTTTGTGATTGCAAAAACATCGTTGTGAAGCAGATTCATTGTCAAGCGGGGTTACCGTTAAGCGGGGCACCACTGTACTTTTCTTCCAATTAGAGATGCTTGATCTGCTTTTTGTAATAGTTAACTCTATCCGCAATCTGGCCAGCCTAATGCCAACAGCAATTTACTGCAAGTTTAGAAGACAGCATAATTATTTTCCAGCTCACGCCAATCACATGTAATACTAAATGCCTATTCTGACTTCTTAACCTGTGACAGTTTGCCACCAAAAGTTACCTTTGGCATTTCACTGGTTGATAAGTACTATAGAATTCATCCTATTATGTTTCTTTTGAATACATTTTCTCTTTACCCCCACAATAGCTTGCCTGGGAGAGTAAAGCAAATTGTGCACCAAGCATTCTGGGATCGTCTGGAAGAAGACTTGAATGAAGATCCTCCAGAATATGAGCATGCTATCAAGCTGTTTGAGGAAATTAAAGAGGTCAGTTTAACCTGGTGGCTAATCCTTCTCTCTCATTCTAAGCTGGGACATTGATTCTGTGAACCTGCAAACAGTATAGCTTGTAATGTTTGTTAATAAGCTAAAAGGAATAAGAAAAATATTTGAAACTATATATATTTCAGCTTCAAGGCATGTTGTGTAATGACTGTTAAATAAACTCTTGGATGTTGGGTTCTCATGACATTGTGGTCCTACAAGCAGTGTCACCTTTATGGCAGCCCTTGGCAAAGTACCCTCCTCTGTGCCCCTCTTGTGTCTGGTGCTTCCTCACTCGGCTGCAAGCTCATCACGCAACAGGGGCAACCTGCTACAAGGAGGAACATCACATTTTAAAATAAATGTCTCTTTGCCTTCCATTGCTGTTGAAAGTGCTGTTCCAAAGGGCAATGGCTACAGCACATATATGTTTCCCACAGTATCTGTGGGCCCTGCTATAGCAGCTATAATGTCAAGGCAGACCTTGGAAAAGTTCCTTTTTTTTGGACTAAACCTTCCAGAATCCTGCATCCAACATGGTGCGTAGGCTTTTTGACCTTTTGTCTGGGACCCAGTGGAAGGCAGAAAATAATGGCAGCTCAGTTTCCCTAGCTGGGCATTTCCTTTTTAAACACAAGGTTGTTGTTTTTCAAAAGTCACAGCTAAAATCATCACACTTACACTCTGGGATGGTCAGTAGGCCCTGCCTTGGGCTCTTGGATACCAGGCAGGAAAGTTGGCAAGTCTTGGGGTCTGAGTCCAAGTCTTTAGTACCAAGTCCAAGTTTGAGTCTTTGGTACCAAGTCCAAGTTTGAGTCTTCGGTACCAAGTCCCTAGCCCCAAGTCTGAGTTCCTATTAAAAATAAGTTTTATCCCCCCAGAAAAAGGGAGAGGATGGGTTTATAGTCACACGTCAAGTCATAAAATTAAAAAAAAAAAACCCTGTGTCAAGTCTGAATCAAGTCACCAGGGCGACTTAAGTCTTATTTGACATTGAGTCTCATGACTTGAGTCCCCATCCAGGATACCAGGTCCTGATACTGAACCTAGGTAGCTAACGTCATTCTACATAGTAGGACTTAGCAGTTGTTAGTGGTGGTGCTGCGGGTTAAACTGCAGAAGCCTCTATGCTGCAAGGTCAGAAGGCCAGCAGTTGTAAGATCGAATCCACGCGACGGAGTGAGCTCCCATCACTTGTCCCAGCTCCCGCCAACCTAGCGGTTCGTAAGCATGTAAAAATCCGAGTAGATAAATAGGTACCACCTTGGTGGGAAGGTAATGGCGTTCCGTGTCCAGGCGCACTGGCCACGTGACCACGGAAACTGTCTACGGACAAATGCTGGCTCTATGGCTTGGAGATGGGGATGAACACTGCCCCCTAGCGTCAGACACGACTGGAGTAAATGTCAAGGGGAACCTTTATCTTTACTATGTTAATCTCTATACCTTACTCATCCTGAAACAGTTCAGAACAGCATACTCAGTTATTTCTGGTCAACCCTTTAGCCCTGTGGCTATTAGCTTGTAAAATAGTGACTTGTCCAGGCCCATTTAGCAAGTTTCATTGCTTAGTAGGCTCTGTAATCTGGGTCCACTGTTCTAAGCATTTTACTATGCTGGCTATCATTTAATATAATTCCAAAGTAAAGCAGGATGCATTAGGTAGAGTCTTCATATGATTATAAATAACTTTAATTAAAACTTGTTAGATTTAATTAGTAATGTTTATTTAAAAATGGAGAATTTCAGTAGGGCCATCATGACATGGAAAGGTAAAATAAATGCCACATTTGGTCAACGTCCTTCTAACCACAGAACAGAAAAGTTACTCTTTTGGATTACAGTTTCAGGAATACCCAGGCCACTGCAACTATTGGCCATTGTGGCTGGAGGATTCTGGCAATTGTAGTCTTTAAAAGAAACTTTGCTAAGCTCTGCTTCTAAGATATAAACCCTGGAATTACAGAACCCCTATTCCTTTTGTTCTTTTTCTCCTCCACCTAGTACATAAGTCTGCATTACCAATCTAGGCCTTAGGTGGTTGGTGTTCTCAATGTTGCAGATCCTTCTTTCTTTCTTGAACCCTGGAGCAAATAGGATGCGGAGTCAAATCTGTGAAGTCCTTGATGCAGACCTCATAAGGCAGCAGGCAGAGCACAATGCAGTTGACATCCAGAGTCTCGCGAACTATGTCATTAGCACCATGGGAAAACTGTGCGCTCCAGTAAGAGATAATGACGTGAACCAGTTAAAAGCCACTGGAAATATTGTAGCATTGTTCAGGTTGGTGTGTGATTATTTTCAATACTACTCTTTAGCAGCCTAAAACACTGATTTTCAAATATATTTTTGTTTTTCTGGATTCAACATAAGACTTAGAATTTAGAGTATACCTAAGTCAGTTTCAATTTTGCTGCTTGTTGTTTTAGAAAAAAAAAATTTGGAGTTCTCTATACGCTGGTCCTCCTAAAACTGTGTTTCTTCCTTCAAGTGCTTTCCATAAAGGTATCTTCTAAAAAGTGAAGTTGGGTCCTTTTGGGGATGAAGGCAGGACATACATACATGCATGCATGCATGCATGCATGCATACATGCATGGAACGCATTAAACGATGTTTAATGCGTTCCAATGGCTTTCCCTGTCCCGTTCAGCAATGTTTCGCTATAGCGAAGGTTAATCCGGAAGGGATTAACCTCGCTATGCGAGGCACCACTGTACATACATACATACAGTGGTGCCTCGCAAGACAATGTTCATTCATTCCGCGAAAATCGCTGTCTTGCAAAAACATTGTCTTGCGAAATGCGGTTTCCCATTGGAATGGATTGAAATCTATTTAATGCGTTCCAATGGGGGGAAATTGTTGTCTTGCGAAAATCACCCATAGGAAAACCATTTTGCGAAGCGTGGACCCAGCTGTCAAAATCGCCGTCTTGCGAAAAACCATCAATTGCATTACTCAACATGTATCTATAAATGCATACACAATTCATGTGCCATCACCATACACTGTGTAGGTTTCTTACATGGGTTCTGCAATGCCATACTTTATCTATGATGTTTCCGGGGGTGGGGGTGGAGTGGTTGCTTTAAGAAAGTAAACTTCTGTGGAATTAAGATAAGTGTGTGTATTTGCCTTCTGCATGGTCAGAAAGGGCTACTGCCAAACAGCACTTAAGCATATTCCCATGAAACCTGATGCTTGTTGCAAACTTATGTCTTCTATTTTTTTTCAGGCAAATATTTCATGTTCTGGATCTCATGACCATGGATATGGTTAATTTTACTATCCAGAATCTCAGACCTCATCTCCAGCGTAACTTAGTGGAATATGAAAGAGCAAAATTCCAAGATATACTTGAAGAAACGCCAAGTATGTTCTTTCTTTATATAGGGAGATTACAAACGAGAGATGGGAAACTTTGGGTGGTTTAGGGCCCCAAACGTGTTCCACGGGCACCCACTGTGGGCCCCACCAGGCCTTGATTGAGGCGGGCTATAGATACTAACATAGAAAATGCCACTCCTGAGGTAGAAAATGGCATGTATGTGCGTGCACATAAGAAAGAGTGCACTCAGGGACATGGGGGACTCTGGAGTGGCCTACAGGCTACATTTTGCCCACCTGTGGTAACGAGTGGCTTAGTGATACAGATAGCTGCTTAGGACAAAGGCCCCTAATGAACAAGTTGCTCAAGTGATGTACCCTCGTGGGAATTTGTATCTTCTTTTTAACAACAGCTTGGATGTTTGTTTTTGTTTCACTGACTTGCCCTATAAGCCCCAAGGGACTAGGGACAATGAATCTGCTCTTTAATTACTTTCCAAAACCTGCTGCAGGTATACTGGTGGAAAAACATCCTTTACTTTTGAAAGCACTTGGGGGTTGAAGGTTTTATCCCTGAGTCTCCAATTTGCTAACTCAGCATGTAAGAAGCCCGCTTATGTCTTATGTCTTATGTCTTAAGAAGCCCTCAAGCAATGGGATACTTGTGTACCATGTGGTTTGGTCCCTAAACCGAGCAGCATATCCAAGGAAAGGACTTTTATTTTGAATGCATTGTGTTCTCTCCAGGGGAAAGAGCCAGACCTGCCATTAGCCCCCCCCCCAATAAGGTTTAGTAGGTTTAGCAGGATGCTGGGCATGGCAAGGCCTATAGCTGCCCCTCCTCTCCTTCCACTCCTGGGGCAGATAATTTTTTCCTTTGCTTGCATTGCCATGCAGCACAGTAGTTTTAATGGCATACAGGTGGTACAGTAACCAGTCTTCCATGGTGTGACGTCAGTCAAATAATAGTATCTTTTCTATGTTTCTGGCTTGCTCCAGTTCTCAGTTTTTTCCTCCTTTTCATGAGCAGGCCCGTGTGGGTTATTTGCCTGGCTACATTGTGATTTCTGCAGCGTGTGGAGTGCTCGTACATAAAACAAGCACAATGTCTTTCTTTTGTCTCGGGATGCTAAGGTGCCCTGGATCTGACCACGGAATGGATACAGGAATCCATACACGATGAACTGTCTGCTGTTTCCTGTGAACCATCTTCATCTTCTGGTGCTAATGGGGTGTCTAAAACAACTCTGAGCCCTACTTCGGTGCTAACAAATAGCTACTTGAAATTGTTGCAGTGGGATTATCAGAAAAAAGCAATTCCTGAGGTAAAAGCATGAATTTTGATCACTAAGTATTTTTTTAACATAATTATTTTCCCTCCTCATAGCGTTGTGGTTAAGGTGGGTGCCTAAGGCCTGTAGCTAAGGCCTCAGGTAGCCACATATCTGGCACCTGGAACATAGTCTCCTGTAACCAAGTGATTAAAATACACTTGCCATAAGGAATGGGAAGGAATGGGCTTGTGGTAGGGAGGAAGATTAGATAGCAAAATGAACACTTGTTCGGGGGATGTTAAACCTCTGAAGAAGTTTTAAAAATAGCCATGTGAAAGTACACGAAACAATAGCTGAAATACTGTTGCACAGTTACTCAAACAGTACAACTGTTGAAAGTGACTTGCCGTAAGTTAATAAATCTCCATAGACATTATCTGTTACATGCCAAGTTACACAGCTCAGTATGCAAATCTGTGGAGATTTCTTAACTTCTAGAAATTAGCTTCAAAATATTATGCTGTTTGCATAACTGTGCAACAGGATCTCAGCCAATATAGGGAGAAGAGGAGGAGATAAGGGTTACTTCTTGCTAGTGGTATCCCAAGTGCTAACTTCTAGTCTGCAACACTTGGCATGTACAATGATATTATGTGAGATGGGTGTGTGTGTGAGAGAGCAGTAACCCTCTCACCGGAGTGCTGTCCCTCCCCCACACTGTCAAGAAAGTAATACAGACCCTACCCACTTCATTTCCCAAGAGAACAGAACAGCGAGGGACAGATACACAAGATTTAGAAAGAGAAATACGAAGGTTAATGTTTGAAGGAACTCAGGGTGGTATGGCAGGAACAGAAGGAGAGGGTGGAGATAGAGGTGGGAGCAGTGCATATAAAAAGGAGGGAGGAACAGTTGTAGGAGAGGGTGGAGATAGAGGTGGGAGCAGCGCATATAAAAAGGAGGGAGGAACAGTTGCCTCCAGGCTGGGAATGGATCTGGATGGAGGATCCCTGGATGAGAGCTTGGGAAAAGCTGAGGGTACTCAAAGAAGAGGCTGACCACAAGAGATGGAGTCAGATTCCTTCTAGACCATCATATTGGGGAGAAGCAGAAGCCAGGGAGTGGAGATGAAGGCTGAGAGAGGAAAAGGGGAAGGGAGAGAGGGAGAGGGAGAGAGGAGAGAGAGGTTTGAATGCAGAGTGAGAGAAATGCAGAAGAAGGCCTACCGGGAGGACCCCCCCACACACACACACACCCACCCGTTGGATGCTCCGTGTGGGTGGATGACCGGGACGAGGACACCGTGCCCCTGCTGGAAGATGAAGCGGGACCAGCAGTAAACCTGAACTTGTCTATAGACCGGCCGGGTCCATGGAATGCGGGTGAAAAGAATCTGTTCCCAGATGAAGAATGGAAGCCCCTGACTGACCCGTTGTTAGAAGGAGAAAGACGTTGGGATAACTTTGTTGACACTGGTTATTTGGTAAACATTCCAGTAAACCTTACTCCTGTTCCTAAAGTGCAGAAATTTCCTGATTTATTTGAACAAAGAAAGGATCAAAAAATCGAACGCTCACATATTATAATAGTATTATAAGCACACTTTCATATGAGCCTGCCTGGGTTTTCTCTTTCCTGCCATTAACATTTGGAGGAACATATTACTTCTGTTGTCTCACTCAAGTAAATATAAACGTAGCTTGACATCAGTGGCCTATTGCTGGGACCCAAACTCTGAAAAAACTTGCTCAGAGATTTTATATAGGTGTTAAAAATTGTTGTTTTAAAAGTGGTTCCCTTTGGGACCACTGGGTTGAGCAGCTGTTGGAACCATCTGCTCTCATAAGGAGGCATTTATCATCTCTGAATCCAACTCAGTTCCCTTTTGCTAGGTGTTATAAACTATAATGGGCAAGGGCCAAGCTCACATAGGAACTCTCCGCTAGCAAAAGCATGATCTTGAGGAAAATTGTGCAGCTCTTTGGAACATGTTGAAGAATTTCATTGTCATTACTAAGGCATCTATTATTTTATTCATTTCTTTATGCGTTCTTGCATTTTTCAAGTTTGATATAGTAGATATTAGCGCAGCTTGGAAATATGACTTTTTATTATAACCCTCAGGATTGCACAGTCTGTATAACCTTAGCTATAGAATCAAAGGGATATAATCCAAAATAGTAACAAGTTTGGGGTATTGGATAATAACGAACCACTTGGACCTATGATGAATTGTTTTTATTTCTCCCATAGAAACTGATTTGTTAAATAAGGCTGAGAGCGAGGAATTTCTCACTGTTACAGGTTCAAACATATAAAGTAATGCTGAATATTTATAGGGAAAGTAATCATGGAAATTCTGTGTCAATGGCAGAGATATTTTTGAAGACCATTAAGAATCCTGGCAGCTATACTCTTCAAAAGGTATTTTTGCCTTGACCAAATGGATTTCTCTGCAGGGAAACAGGCTTTTCTTTTGGTATGGAATTATATCAGAATTTAACACAGTATGAATGACACCTTTTTATAAATGTCTCTTCCAGACACTAATGACAGACGAAGGCCGTCTTCAGGAGCTATCAGAAAAACTGAATCAGTTGAAGATTATAGCTTGTATTTCTCTCATAACAAGCAACATGTTGGCTGCAGCAACTGAGGGCATTCCAGAATTTGTTGAGAAACAAAAGAAGATTTCGTTTGTCCTGCTTGATGGGGTGAATAAGAAGTAAGTTTTTCAAAATAAGAGAAAACTCAAGGATAAAGAATTATTGGAAAGTAAATCAAAATATATATATCTGAAGCGCTGTATCTCTTCAGTTAAATTTTCTTTTCTCTCTTCCTTTATTTGCAGGACATTTGATTTGAAGGAAGCTCTGAATGCAATAGGTATTCAGACATGCACTGCAATAAATGAGTCACTAACAGAAAGAGGCTTCCCATCACTAAATAAGGAAGTGGAAGCGAATTTAGTGGGTCAGCTCTGCAACATCGTTGATGAAGACAATCCCATCCGTTCTTTAATTGGTTAGTGATGTCTGAATCTTAAGTGTATGTATAATGGGGACATCAAACTAAACAAAAATGTTCCTTCTAGGCTTTATAGCCCTGCTGCTATCAAATTGTAATGCCACAGATGCAAAAAATATGATTTCCTGTTTTTAGAAGTTTCTGGGAAGTGCATTTGTGCTCTAAAACAAAGTGTGAAGCATGGGTGGGATGAAACTTTATACCAGCTGAAGTTGTCTGTCCTTCCACAATGAATATAGAGATGTGGGGTCAGATGTGGGGTCCTCTGTCTTATTAAAAACATGGGCTTTTCAGAGATAATGGTAGGATTGTCCATGGGTCAAATATCCTCCAGGTTGGAAACACCAGCCCCAGTGGTAAAGTTCTCTGAACAAGAGTGGGACCATGTACTTTGAAAAAGAACAGATGTTTTGGTTGTGGTGATTTTTATGTTCTAGAGAAATCAGAAACATAGCTGACCCTGAGGAACAGTTGAAGATAGTCTGAAATGCAGTTGTTTGTGCATGTGTATTTGTTGTGTGCATGTGTGTGTGAGAGAGAAAGAACAGAATGAGAATGACTTCTCTTATTTCTACCCAAATGTTACTAATCCTTATTGGGGCAGAAGTGTGATGGCATAATAAAAGGAGAAGTAGGCCGTAGTAGGGAATAGTAGCAATAGTAACAGGATGACATTCCATGGCTGTTTCTCCAATTAGAAGCCTATTCAGAGAAATGCAGTAGTGCAGAACTCAGTATAGGGGTTATAATAAAACCTAGATTGTAAATTTAGCCTCATGAAAAACGTGAGGTCCTTCTGAAGACTATATAGGAAATGTAGAACGAATTGCGAAACTGAAATGAAAAATAGCTCAAAGAAAATAGAAAGGATCAGAGTGTCTGTGTTTACAGAAAAAGTAATCCCTCCCACACTCATTAATTACACTCATGAATTTTCCACTTGGAAAAAAAGGGTTCTGCCTGATGTCCAATTGCTAGACATGGGCAAGTAATCTCAGGGTAGTGCTCTGTACATTGTAGGCTTACCCTTGCTTATGCAGGCTTGCTGGAGGTCTTCACACATAGCTTTCCCTTGTTCAGATAGATACTTCTGTTCAGTAGACCTTGGAATAGTGCTATCCTGCACAGACCTGTTTTATGCATGGACCCTCCTCATGTGACAACCGCCTGAATGGGTTTATTTCATTCATTGGTAGAATTGTATGCTCTCTGTGCTGAATGATGCAAGATGAAAATCCAGTTGTGTGAATGTTTTTTCCTCTTCATTTACAGATAAACGAATTCATTTCTACATGAAAAGTTTGCTCACTTCTCCCTGCTTCCAAAAATCTAGGCCTGCAATTCCAGGAGGTCTTGCTGTGATTCAGACTGAAATAGAGACCATTGGAACACAATATGCCAACATTGTTAACTTGAATAAACAGGTGTATGGACCATTCTATGCAAATATTCTTCGAAAACTGCTTTTCGGAGATGCAGAAAGGAACAAAGCAGAACTTGTGTCTTCTAACTGAAATATTCATTCTTTATTCTTTCCTCTTTCACAGTATTTATATTGTGGGTTTTATTCTTCTGAACATGCATAACTTACAGCAATTATATTTGTTCAGATGAATAAACAGAGAAATAAATGTGCCTGTGTAAGTGGCTTAGATTATGGAGATGATTCTCAAATAAAAGTTCCCCTGTATCAATACAAATTTACTGAATTTAAAATATATATATGAAATAATTAATTCTGTTTATAATGATGGATTGTAACATTTATTGCACTTATTTAATGTAAATGTGTTCTCTTACATATATGGGGTAAATATTTGCCAGTTCGTCACTAATATATCTCTTTCAGAGGTTTGAAGCTTTCTCCAAAGCCTAAAGTGCAATGAAACAAAAAATTATCGTTCCCCTCTACCAACATTTTACACCCATAACCACCCGCCCTCTTCCAAAAGTGGCTTATGCATAAAATGCTGTGTCATTCCCTCAGTACCTCTCTTTTGCTTCTGAATTTGCAACAGTGTTGAGGTAATGGAGTAAAGAAAACAGATTAACACACCTCAGGTTTTTATATGACCCTTTCTGTTTTCTGAACCGTACTTTAAACAGTCTTCACAGCAGGCCAGTTAAAAATAACCGAAAAGGATGAAAACAAAACTATTGCCCCAAATTATAGAGATGTAAAAAACAATTCTAAAACAATTGATTTGATTAGTCCTGGGTTATTAAAAAGACAGAACTATAATCCCAAACTATTGAGGTCTACAAGTATTCCCAAACTATTGCACTCCCAACAAACGAAACTTCAACTCATAGTCCTAAAAGGTACAAATGATTTGTGTTTTTTTTTTTCAGAAACAGAGGCTGAAATCCTGTTGCTTAGTGTAGTAAGTCAGAACTAGAGTAGATACATTGAATCTATGGAGTATAGTATTTGACTCACCAGTTGTGTGCTGATTTGAATAGGCCTACATTAGTTGCAATTTACCACATTAAGCAACAGAATTTCAGCCCAAGGAATGTTTCTGTATATAGGATATAGGACTGCTAGAGAGCCTACAGTATTATTTATGCATAGGTATGTATGCTATATTTTACATATTTCAAATTATTGAACATAGAAGGGCTGTAGTACATTGGGTATATAATTTTCCCCTTTGTACCAAAATGAATAATTACTTGAAAAATGCTTCTAGGAAGTGTAATTTATAGTATTGGTTCACTATGATTCATTTAAATAACAAATGTTACACTATTCATTGAAACCACTTCAGTGGATATACAGTATGTCAGTAAATACTCCCTGATATTTTATATCCTTGCTGGGTATATATTTTTGCTAAGAATAATCTAAGATACTTCATGTGTAACACTGAACCTTCTTGTCCTACATTGCTTCTGATGTCTCTATCACAAAGATTACAAATAGGACCTTGATATCAAAAGCATGTTGGTTTTATATGCAAATTGGATTTTTAAAAAAGAGATATATAATGTATATAAATAATTTTAAAACATTACTAAATATCTATTGCTTCATTATTCCACATTAAAGTGATCATCTAGTCAAAGAAGAAAGAAACATTATTCCCTTCTTCGTTTAAATTCTAATTTCCCTGTGGGATTAAGCAAAAGGACAGAGGACTGTGGCGAATGCATGCTCAACAGTCATGTCATTTCAGTAAATCCAGAGGTGCTAGTGACAGGCAGCTATGGCTTTATAAACAACTCTCTGCAAGTATTCAGTTCCACAGAATATGTTTTGTGCAGAGAGTGTCCATCTCCCATTCATGCCTGGTTTTAAGGGCTAAATCCAATTGTAAGTCCCTGACTGAATCAGTGGGGACTTGGTAGGTCGACTCTGGTTCCATCGATTCAGTGGGTCTACTTTAGCAGAGGCAGCATTTTGATTTATGTGTAAGATACTTTTTTTTTGTCTGAATGAAAGGAAAATTGATTTATTTGTCACTTTTCTACGTGATCTGGTTTTGAGCAATTCCACTGAAGAGGCTGTTGCAAGGGAATATGTATGCTAACAAAATTATGGATTGGATCCAGTTTTGTGAATGTGACTTGCACGGGCAGAAGCAGACCACACTGCTCTCCTTCTCATGATACCCCTTTAAGAAACCTGACATAGAAGGTTATGGTATTCTGTAGAAGGGGGTGTACTGTATTATAGATGGAAGACTACAGCCCATTCAATGTAGCAAGGTCTCCTGATCCTCCATGTAGCATTTTCCTACAGTTTGCTTTCACCAGTTCAATTGCACTGGGTCCAGTTCTTTGTACGCAACTCATATCTTGCTACATAACTGAGTTGTATAAAGGAGCAAATACCTCTGTATTTTGTTACATAAGAAACAGAAGGAATAAATTGTCTAAAATATTTTGGACCTACGTATGGCTAGGCGGTGTTATAAACATCCACAAGAAATCTGATTGTAATTATTTTTATGAGGTTTGTGTGTATGTATATATTTCTGTCTACTTAAGCACTCTGTACATGCAGGGAACTCAAGTGGAGGGACTGTATGGGGAACTATAAGTTATATCTAGACCGATGTTTTCCAAACTTATGTCCCAGATGTTCTTGGATTTAGACTCCCAGTAGCCTTCATCACTAGCTGTACTGGCCAGGATTTCTGGGAGTTGTACTCCCAAGAACATCTGTGGGCTCTAAGGTGGGAACCACAGATCTAGAGTATACATTAGCTGCAGTTAGGTCCCATTGTAATCATTGGGGCAAATTAATCAACTGAGTTAATTTGTCCCTTCAGCAGTTTCTCATAATTTAAGTCTCATTGATTTCAAAGGGCACTAACTGCTACAAAATTATTCTGTATCCAACAATATATTTATTTTAAATGCTCAAGCAGAAGATTACAAGAAAGCAATCTTTGTTTTGTGATTTTATATATGACATGAGAAGGGCATTTTACATAGCATGGTGTGGCCACTCAACAGTCTTTCAGTGTCTCTCTATTAATGTTTGTAGCCTTCTCAGTGTTCAGATTAATCAACTGAATTAATTTGTCCCCCTTGCATGTTGTTTGGATAATTTCAGCAACTGTTTACTTTCATCCATACCTGAAAAAAACCCAAGGTATTATATGTAACTGATTGATTTTTGTGTTAATATTTGTACTCATTAAATTTGCTTGCAGTTTTAAAAAACACTGTTGTGGATATTAGAATGAGATTAACATAAAAGCATGAACAACAGCAAAATGCAAAGATCAAGTCAGTCCCCTAGCCATGTGCAGGTAGCCACTTTGATCTGTATAAAAAAGCCAGTTCTAGTAGCTGTCATCTGTACCACAGGTTGGTTTTAAAAATAATGAGACTTGGGCTGTCTCATTGTGTAGTTTTCAAGGAATAAAGCATTCAGAACTGGTTTAACATTTCCTCCTCCTGCAGTGTATTAACAAAAGTTACCCTGAACATGTTATTACCATTGTCTGTGAAAGATCGTCTGCCAGTGTCACCTTCTGCTACTTCTGCTGCAATTTCTGTGGACTGAAACCAGAAATATAATTAGGAAATAATGCAAGGAAAATATTGGCTATTCCTGTAGCAAAACAAAATAAAAGCCTGAAAGGAAATGCATTTTTTTCAGCATACTGCACATATGAACAAAGAGAGCCATTTATAATAACCAGTGCAAAGAAAAGTGGACAACCAAAAGGAAGAGCAAGAGTTCTTTTCCATAAGATCCAAAAAAAATCAAGGGAAAATTTAAACCAAAGTTGTTAATACTGATGATGGTTATGATGTGCCATCAAATCAGTTCCAACCTATGGCAAGCCTTCCAGAGACTTCTAGATATAATGTACTTAGAATTGGTTAACAAAAGTATGAATAGTCAAAGCTATGGTTTTTTCCTGTAGTGATGTATGGAAGTGAGAGCTGGAACATAAAGAAAGCTGACTGCCGAAGAACTGATGCCTTTGAATTGTGGTGCTGGAGGAGGTTCTTGAGAGTCCCCTGGACTGCAAGGAGAACAAACCTATCCATTCTAAAGGAAATCAACCCTGAGTGGTCACTGGAAGGACAGATCCTGAAGCTGAGGCTCCAGTACTTTGGCCATCTCATGAGAAGAGAAGACTCCCTCGAAAAGATGCTGATGTTGGGAAAGTGTGAAGGCAGGAGGAGAAGGGGATGACAGAGGATGAGATGGTTGGACAGTGTCAGCGAAGCGACCAACATGAATTTAACCCAACTCCGGGAGGCAGTGGAAGATAGGAGGGCCTGGCGTGCTCTGGTCCATGGGGTCACGAAGAGTTGGACACAACTAAACGACTAAATGACGATGATAAGATGAAGTAAATTAATTGAATCAATTTATCATTTATTGAGGTGAATTCACTCAATAAAGGCACAGCTTTTAGTTTGCAGGCCCTGAGCAGTGCTGCTGAAGACTTAACGTTCGGGGGCTCATTAATTTCTAGTGTTGTCATAAACTAAACTAAACAGTATATAATAAGTAGCCTTAATTGGTTACTCAGGATGAAGGTATTCTACCATACTTACAAAAAAAGATACAGTAGTACATATCACCACACACAGCTGACCAAAAGGATTTCACTTAAACTGTGAGGGAGCAGAATACTGAGGGAATGGAAGATTGTATCATCATCCTTGCTAATCAAAATGTTCTTGTGCCTTTGCACTAGAAGTCTTGGCTTTACAAGTACTGTAATACTTGTCAAGGTATAATTATCAAGAAGTACTGCCCTATTTTGATATAGCTTGTGTGAAGATGGTACAGTCCAAATCAGGAACAGGACAGCTGAGGGTGGGCCAAGGTTAGGTTTTTAGTTATTTGGTATTTCAGAAGCTCATACCAGCCAAGGTTATTTTTAACAGTGGGGCTTTGCTTCTTTTCTATTGAAAACAGCTATTAACAATTTAATCATGTATTCAGCCTGGTGCAATTATGGGACTCGATATAAAGCCATGGAAGCACAAAGGATTGTGGGGTGTAAGACTGTCCCCATTTGCCTTTAAATGCTCCTAGTCCAATTCCTACCATTGGTTCAAAGCCTTCTCGAGGTTCTACATCCATAGGACCTTTTGTGGGTAGTTGGGAAATCTCTGAAGCAGGATCTCTATCTCACTGTTGAAGTTCCTCTCCATTGCCTGGAAGCACTTTTCTATGTCATCACAGACCACTCAGCCATAGGTTCTGATTTATTTCTAAATAAACTTCAGCTCTCGCATTTTCAAATCCATTTTATCCAGTAGGAGGGATCAATCCATTCACTGCTGTCCTACCTGGTGCATCTTCAAAACCACATCTGCAAAGTAGAGAAACCCACTACAGTTACTTTGCAGGAACCTATAATGGGCAGAAAGGGGAATGATTTCCATGAAAAATTCGAAGCTGGTAGATGAGGCAGAGGCTACCACACATTAGAAAATAGTCTCCAGAAAACGGATCAGTGTTGTAAAATATGCTGTTCCTAGGAGCTCATCAGACCTTTACTGAAGACTGTGGCAAAGGGAGGTTTTATAGTTAATAATAATCATCATCATATGCCATAAAATCAGTTCTGACTTATTGCTCCCCTCTTCAGTGTTTTCTAGATAGAGAACACCCAGAAGTAGTTTATCATTCCCTTCTTTGGGACTGTGCAGTTTGCCCAAGGTTACACAGGCTAGCTCTACTCACAGGAAGCACAGTGGAGAATCAAAATCCCAACCTTTGGTTCTGCAGCCAGATGCCTAATCCACTGAGCTATTACCTGTGGTGATATAAGTCCTATATAAAAGTGGCCCTGTGCTTTGACAGAGGAACAGACTCAGATGGCTAGAACTGGAATCTAGATATATCTAGTTATTCACACAAGTATCTTTTCTAGTAGTAAAGAGAGAACACTCTTAGGGCTGTAACCTAACCGGTCATTTCATTCCTTTCTTAGCATAACTTTTAGTTCTTCTATAATTATAGGGGTTCGGTGGTTCCTGTTCTGGCTAGCTCTAAATTAAGCTCTGTTGTGGGTGTTGAGGTAATAACAAAGAGGACAGAAGACTGTATTTTGTGCCACAATCCAGTGGCTTGTAGCATTCAGATGCTACTTTCGTCATCTAAAAAGGTAATGGTCCGTTGAGCTACATTTAAGAAACAGGAAAGAGGCGCGTTTAGAAAAATCAGAACTACAGTAGGAACTAAATATTTCTTTGTCTTGGAACTACTGTATAACGAACCACTTTTTCCCAAATAACCCTCCACATTCTAATCCAAAACCAGATGCGTAAAGAGAACGTCTCTAATGAAGCTGTCTGGTAACGTTTAAGGTGATTTCAGCTTAGTAGCTTTACTAGACTGAAGCATGTGGTTTTTCAGTGGCAGGAAAATGAATTGATCAATGAAAATGATGGAAAAACATGGGAAGCTTGTAAGTGGAAGAGGTCGCCGAAGCACACATATACACACCCAACACAAATTTCCGTTTCTCTCCCGCGCCTCGCTCTCGAGACTCTGTATCAATGACAGCTCAGTATCAGAAATTCAATAGGCACAGCTCTTCCCAGCATCGAAATGAAGCAGGCGGCAGTTGTTAAGCTGCTCAATTTCAGCCTGTCAAGCAACCAGGGAAGATCCTCAGTCAGAAAAGCACGTAATCATAGATTTTAGTTACAAGTGTACAGTATGAACTAAATTCCATAAAAATGATGCAATCAAAAAACCTAAGGAAATAAAAACACAAGCAGTATTTTCTACGCTGAAACGACGAAGGATAAAGAACAGATTATTGGGAATAATAACGAGTGGCGTTTCTATTAATTTCATCTACATAACGTCATAAAAGTTTTGAAGCTTTGCAGTCCAACGATTTCTATTCAAGACAGCCGTCCCCGAGCGAAGCAAGGCAGTAGCGGAACTTCTGCGCAGCTGACCCGTTGTAGCAGGGGGGGCAGCTTTCATCGACGCACGCCTTGGTCTCTGGATCCTGAGCGCCGCCTCGCATCAGTTGTTGGGAGTGGGGCTGGTTCTGTGTCTTAAGCATGGACGAACTGGTGGCGGAGCTGGGGGCTTCGAGCCCGGAGCAGTTGGCTGCCCCTGTAAATACGGTGGAGGTGAGTGAAAGCAGCGGGAACCAGAAAAGGAGAGAGAAAAACGGGCGGTGGGTGGAGGTTCTGCCTTACCAAAACTGCATGTGTGAATGTGGCTTCAGAAGCTTCTGCTGCACGTATGTTTATATTCTTCCGTGGAGCCTTTGTCTAGAAACTAAAGCAGGAGAGTGTGTGTGCCGAAGATTTTTTTCTGTTATTCTTATTAAACATAATATAAAGACCCCTTTCAATAATTCCCTTGCCTGTCTCTTGGTTATTCTGTTTAGCTCTATATATAGCATCGAAGAAAACGCAGCGCCGCATCTGGAACCTCTGTACCGGGGGGGAGGGGGGAGGAGAAGGAATGGAGAATCAAAACTGGTTAATGAAGCTAATCAGTTTTCAGTCCATCAGGGCCAAGTGAGAAACCACTTGGGAATTCTAAAATTATATAAGGAAGATGAAATATAAATGGATTGACTGCCTGCTTGCTTGATTTGTATATTGTGCCATTAGTGAACATCCACTATTCTGGACAGTTTACCCAATAAGACATAAAAACAAACAAACAAACCCCAATACAGTACCACCCCCATATAATAACATAACCTACAGGGCAATACACCAACTCAGACATAATAGTAAAAAGGGAACCTAAATTTAAAAATTAATAGTGTCTTGTGCCATTAGTGAACATCCACTATTCTGGACAGTTTGCCCAATAAGACATAAAAACAAACAAACCCCAATACAACCATCTACGTTTATTCAAATATAGTCATGTCATATTCTGGTTGCTGTACAATGGTGGAGGGTGGGCTTTCACTTAACTAGGGCTTATTTTTGGGGTAAGGTTTATATTACGAACATCCTGAAAAATCATACTAGGGCTTATTTTCAGGTTACAGTAGGTCTTATTTTCAGGGAAACAGGGTATAAAACATCTGGGGATATATTAATCTTGGAACTGAAGAGTGGAAGGGACCCTATAAAGTGCAGTGGGGGATGGAACCTGCAACTTCTGGGTTTATAGCTGGATACCTAACTGCAGAGCTTTTGAGCAGCTTTTGAGGCTGCTTTATAGAATTCTTTCTGTCTGCTAGTTTTCTAAATATCAGGATGGACAGAGCCTTGCATACCTCAATTGGAGGCTTGTTCTAATTCTTCAGTTTTAGCCATTGGGTTTAAGAGTTCCCTGAATGAAGTGAACATGTTACCACAAATATTAATGTCAATGCCTGCAGATTAAAGCATTTTTCTTAGAAGAGTATCTATTTAGCTTCTTCAAAATATATTCTCTCTCTTCTGAATGTTATTTGATGCTGTCCTTTTGTTTTCAAGGAAAAATGGAGACTACTTCCAGCGTTTCTGAAGGTTAGTGTATCTGTACAGTTGGACTTACTGATTTTAGAAAACTGAATAATTAATCTGAAATATTATTAGTTTTGTTATTAGTAGTGGAATATGACATTAATATAGTATGTACTTTGTGAAAAGGGTGATTGTTACTTTACTATCTAGAGTCAGTAAGTGCCAACTTTCATTCTGTGATGTGTTTCTTCTTATGTCTTGTATCATTCTTTCCTCTTAAAGGTAATCTGTTAGTTACAAATCTCTCAAGTGTTCATACACAGTAGAACTTATCTGTATAGTTTGAAAGCCCTCTTTAAATACCACATATGCTCATCTTTTGTACCTTACTAACTGAAGAAAAAATCTATTATTTCTACTTAAAGCCTCTGTACAAATCTCTTAATTGATCATAAAGCATATTTTGGAAATACTGAAGTTAAAACCTCATTTTGAGTTAATTAACTGTCTGTCAATGTCAGTGTTGTACTCTGAACAATTTTTTTAACCACTGTTAATTTTCATTGGTGATTATTTTAGGTGAAAGGACTTGTAAAGCAGCACATAGATTCATTCAATTATTTCATCAATGTGGAGGTAAGCTTTTTTTTTAACAGCATGAAGAACAAAGCTTGTAAGAATAGAATAACCTGTACAACTGGGTAAGCTTTTGCTTGTTTTATTTCTAGATAAAAAAAATAATGAAAGCCAATGAAAAAATTACAAGTGATGCAGATCCAATGTGGTACTTAAAGTAAGTGTCATTTTGATTTTGGTAGTGCACAGAAGCACAATGGTTAGATGGCTGACATCTGCGCTTTGGACTTACATGTCTTCATGTTTATCATTTCAGCTTAGTTGTGACATCTTGTACGAAATGGCACAAATGTGTATACAGTATCAGTGATCCAGCTACAAAGGATTCATTTGCCGCATGATCCAATGCATACTTTTCAAGATGTTGAAAGGTTTGGGTGGGTGGAACTTCCATTCTTGATGCTTTAATCAAGAACCACATAAAAGACTCTACCGGTGTTTGCAGGATCTGATTAAGTCCTGGTTTTGGCTTAGAGCAGGAAGCAGAGGAAGCACTGCTGAGAGCAGGAAATAGTATCTTATTCTCTCTCTTCACTGGTTGATATCAAGGATTCCTTTTCCCCCTTTGGAGATAACCTTGGGCCAGGAAGTGAAAATTCAACCCTTCACAGGCTACCTTAGACCTGCAGTCTGAGGATCTACTCTATGTCCTGATCTTAGGTGATCATCTTGCTTTATTGAAATTAGAAATATTCCCATCTTTCTGTTCTTAATAGCACAAGGGGAGAGTAGAACTGAGAAATCTTCTCAGAGAACCTGGTGAGCTCACAGATAGTTGTGTGGAATATGTTTTTAAGTTGTTGCCATGAGGTTTATGTGATCCTGATTGAATTTTTGTTAAGAAATTAGGATGACACCAAACTTCAATTGCATATTAGGATCACTGGCTCGTGTCTTGATTTTAATTTGGCTTTATTATATCTTACGTTATAGGTATCTCAATATCTATGTGGGTACTCCAGATGTTGAAGAAAGCTTTAATGTAACAAGACCAGTTTCTCCTCATGAGGTACCTGTTTTTACTTAATATTTTTGAACCATTAGGTGAACTAGCTAAATGTGATTTGAGGCTCTATTTATTGATCATTGTAAAGGAGGTGAGAGAGACCTTCAGTCATATTTTGTCCCACAGAGCATTCTGCTGGTTGTAAAAACATGATGGTGTCCATGTAAGAAATCTCATATCTCAAAGACAGTAGTGATATAATGAATATTTTCTATTTTCTGTGCAGAACCAAGTCTTTGCTTCTGCCTTTCATTCTCCAGAATACAAACATATTAATAGGCTCAAAGACATTTTGATATATCCTTATATTTCATGGACTAAGATTGGTGGGACCAAAACAAACAAAACTTTTTATGGTCTAATCCAACATGCTTGTATTTAGAAATGAGTAACATATTCTATCCTTATTTGTTTACAAAGTTATCTCTGATTAGAGCTGTGTTGTGGTATCATTATTAATAAACTAGACTTATTCTTGTATAGTAAGTTGTTGGAAATTCATCAAAATTAGTAAACAGAATATATAATAATAATAATTATGTGCCATCAAGTTAATTCTGATGTGTGATGACCCTTTCCAGAGTCTTGTACAGAGTACTGTACTCAAAAATGGTTTAACATTCCCTTCTTCTGGAGGCTGTATGGGACTGCGCTACTTGCCCAAGGCTACATAGGCTGATTTTATTCCCAGAGAGGAATTTAATTCCTAACCACTATACAAAAATATGTATATAAGTATGCACATATGTACATATACAAACAAATATGCACTAAGGTATAAGATATATACCTTTGTCTTTCTCTTATGTATGTATATCTGGAAATAAAAGACTGCACATAAGTAGTATTCACTGGCCAAAATCCTGTTGCTTAGCATAATAAGTCGCCACTAAAGTAGGCCAATTGAATCCTTGGAGATTTGGTGAATCAACTTGACTATGCCCATTTGAATCAACACAACTCATGGAAAGGTTCTATTGAGTCAAATGGGCCTACTCTAGTTTCAACTTACTACACTAAGCAACAGAATTTCAGCCCGTGTAATGCAGATTGTACGCAAAACATGTTTTTTTTCCAGAGGACTAATGTGTCTTTGCATTGTGGCATTTAGATTCCTGAAGAGAAAGAGTACTGGTTTGTGCTATTTGTGTTAGTGTAGTCTTCTTTTGCACTAGCTTTCTTAGAGACAATCCGGAGGCTTCAAAAATATCACCACCACCCCTGAATATTGTGAAAACATGTTGAGGACATTCACCAGAAAGATATCTTAATTATGTTGTGCTTCTTTTTAAGTGTCGCCTCAGAGATATGACCTATTCTGCCCCAATTACAGTGGATATTGAGTATACTCGAGGTAGCCAGAGAATTATTCGTAATGCATTACCTATTGGCAGGTAAGACACCAATATAAAGATAACTATCATTTCTGTGTTACATTCCATGTTAGTTTAATTGCTATACTAAAAACTGTGGGGCTTATTTTACTTTTAGTCAAAAGACAGTCTACTTGGTACTGCTGTAGTGTAAGTTTTGTTCATTTTCAGTGGGATGTATGCAACTATTTTCCAAATCCCTGGATAGAATCAGTGATGCTGCCGTAATGCAACCAGTTTTGCTCATAAATGCAATATGAAGAGAATCCTTTCACCTCTTCCAATAAATAACAAGAAAAAGGTTGACATGGGGTAAACATAAAACTGTTTTGGTTTTTGATTCACAGTTGGTCATGGTAGCTCAAAAATTGGGCATAGGAGCTGGCAGCTAAATTGCAGATCCTCTTTTGACACTATAGGTGAGGTCTGGAATATATGTATGCTTATGTGTTGTGCTTCTCCCTTGGCATGGAATGATTAAAATCAGAGGCCACTCATGGAGGAAGAACTTAAAAATTGGAGATAAATGTGATTTATTTCCATGCAAGCAAGGAACACTTGTGTTTTTTTAAGAAGTAGGGTAAGGTGATCATTTGTGTGTAGGATTGCATGGAATGGTATGTAGATGCAGGAGAGCAATTTAAATCCTTCATGTGAGGTTGTCTCTGTCAATAGTGATTACGAAACACAGACAAAACCATTACTGGTTTCGACTATAGTAGACCTGTTGAATCAATTCCTGAATTGAAGTCAACAGCTCTGTGCAAATCCCACTGATTCAAGAAGTCTATACTTTATTTGTGAGTAGCAATTGAATTTGCATCACAATAGTATTATTGAATCAAGTTGTGTCAACATGTCTTTATTATTAAAAATGTTCGGCATGTTTTTCACCATCCTCTTTCATTAAGCCATATTTTTGTCTCCTTCCTTAAGTGTTTCAAACTAGTTAGATGTATGTTTCTGGCAGGTAGCAACCAAGACTGCTGCTTGGTACTTTCTTTCCATTGTGCTTCTCGATATCTGTGCGACACTACTATGCAGACATCCTGTTTGGTTTTTCTGTATGAAGTAACAGAGGCTTTTGAAATTAGAAACTCAAGAATTAGGTTAATTATATTGCTGATCTAGAATGATTGACACACAAAGCTTCTTATCTCTAGCAAGTAAATAAAGATGTTGTCTCAGGGGAGTGTGGTTGGAAGAATTAGGACAGCCAACTAGCTGCACTGAATTGAGAAGATAGCATTGCTTTAAAAGCTGAGGTCAATTCAAAACAGACCTTTAGGCGTAAGGAAATAAAAACAGCAACTTTTGCTGTGTCCAGGGATGATGTAAGGGAAAATGTGGGGGAAACTAGGGACTGTTGGTTCTGTGCATAGAATGACTGTGAAATAATTATGGAAGTGCTATCACCTCATGCAGAATTCCATCCTATTCTGCTAGTAAATCTTCTTGTGTTCTGTGCTCTAGTAATCTTATACATCACTAGTGCTGGGACTGCAGTTAGGTAGATGTCGCACTTGTCCATTGCTTATTTCAGTTAGAAATTTCCCATATTTCGTCTCTCTATTTTTACCTTCCCCCTTTATGATCTATGTATAACCATTTTTAAAAAAATGGTTGTTGATTATTTTTACTGAGCATAACTGAATTAATCACTGAATTAATTACACATGTACATCAGAAGAGAGAGAAAAAACCCAATTTAGAACTATAATAAAATAAAATAAAGAATATTAAAGACACTTAATTATATAACTGTATGGGTCATGTTTACAAACTGCAGTTCATTGACATTGAAGGGATAGAGGAAAATAGAAAATTTTAAAAAACTGATCTCTTGCGAGCAACTTAGGTAATCAAGGACCTCATGTGACAAATTTCGGTACGTAACAGGTGGGAAATGGTTTGATTGGTTATGGATAACATAGTCAATGAAAGGAAGCCATGTACTTATAAATGAATGATTCCTCTGTATCATTCTTGCAGATCATAGCTGATGTGTCAACTTGTCCATTAAGGCTATATTTCATACCCTAATTTTCCAGTTTCTTAAGAAAAGGAGTGGTATTCTTTCCAAATCAGAGCTAGCTCTAACTGAGATGTCAACAGAGGAAAGACAACAACCCTTTATGTAGTAAATACTGATTGTCTCCCACAAATAGGAACTTTATTTCTGCTTTATTTTATTCTTGAGTTGCTAATTGAAAGGAGAAAGTGGGAAGTGGCCAGTATAATTTAATTATTTTCTTTAAAAAGTCATGAAATATGCAAGGCAGAAAAAAATTATCCCCCCCAAACCACTTTGGTTTTCAGCATTTGCAACTCAGTTTCCTGACTACATGTCTGCTTCTTAACACTTTGAAGCTAAGATAGATATTATACTGAAACTCATAGAAGATCTGTTTGTTGTGGGAATTGCATTCTGAATCTTCATCTCTCAGATTAGTAGAAGTCTGGGACATCCATTGACATTGGACTTTATAAGGAAGTTCAAGGTTCAGAAGGTGTTTCTTTATGCTTTTTATAATATGGTGACTGCTAACCTAAAAGACTACTAAGCTAAAAAGATTTAGCTTAGACCAGAAGTGGAAGATGTGTGGCCCTTCTGGATGTTTGGAATTCAGTTCTAATTAGTCGTGGCCAACACTGAGGTTGGATGGACAGTGCAGTCCAAAAGCTTCAAGAAGATCATATGTTCCCCATCTTTGGCTCAGTTCTTGGAGGGTGGGCCTGTGAATGATGGAGGGATTCTGTTGGCAGGAGAAGAATAACATTTGTGACCAGAAGCAGAGTAAAAATTGGAATGCCTGTTTCCTGTATTCCTAGAAGCTTCTGTTTAGCAGCTGTGGAGCACAAGTAGACTAGTCTTGAAACCTCAAGTTGATTCTAATGTTTGGAATTCTTACAGGATGCCAATAATGCTGCGCAGTTCCAATTGTGTTCTTACTGGGAAAACTCCAGCAGAATTTGCCAAGCTTAATGAATGCCCTTTAGATCCAGGTAACAAACTTTAGTTTCTATCAACCTCTGTTCTCCTGAAAAGGACAAAAGCTGATCCCACAGCTATAAATACTCAACTATCCAACAAACTGCAACAGAGCAGAGAGAGAGTTCTGACTCCTGTCCTCTGAAGATGCTGGCCACAGAGACTGGCGGAACATTAGGAAGAAAAACCTTAAGAACATGGCCAAACAGCCCGGAAAACCCACAACAACCATCGGATCCCAGTGGTGAAACCTTAGTCAGGTTCTTTTACATAAGTTACCAATGGAATCTTGCAACCTACAAGCCAGTATGGAATATGTAATGAGAGCGTTTAAGACTCAAACCATGGAATTGAGTTGTCAGGAATGAAATTTCTGTAATCAGGGAAGTTACAAAGCCCCCGTAGAAGAACAGTGCATAAGCCTTGGTAGTTCTTTGCATGGCAAATTTTGCTTGCCTTGCAGTAATTGCCAAATATGCCTAGAGTTTACCAGGGCTTATGTTCCTTAAGGTAGCAATAGGGTCATTGTATCAAAATAGAGAATTTCTGTTGCTGGCCTCCTTGGAGCTATGTGAAAATATCTACATAATGAGATTCCTTCTTAAATTTCCTGGATTTATTGTGACATCTCTGCGTAGTAAAAATGGAAAGTAGAGTAAAACGTATGCATGCATATGGAGTTAACAAGGATTCAGAGGTTTGCAAAGTCTGTGAGTGCCTTTTTAAAGTTAAGATAGTTTTTAATGTGCTCCAAAGTCTGTGAGTGCCTTTTTAAAGTTAGTTTTTAATGTGCACTTCCTATTAATTATTCAATTGCATTTTAATTAGAATATAGTTTAATTTTTAGTATTTAACTTATTTTGGTGTTTATTCTTTTTAATATTGTGAGCCACCTTGGGTCCCCTTATCAGGAGAAAGGTAGTTTAAAACTAAAACAAACAAATAAATAATTAAAACAAATAAATATTGGATATATTTCCTCAGCTGGCTAGAACAGACGTCAATACAGATTTTTTCATTCTCCATTTGACAGGTGGCTACTTCATTGTCAAAGGTGTAGAGAAGGTCATTCTTATTCAGGAGCAGTTATCAAAAAACAGAATAATTGTGGAAGCTGACAGAAAAGGGACAGTTGGCGCATCAGTTACCAGGTAAAATAACTACTGAATGACAGCAGGCATGGCTAGAATCCAAACAGTTGCTTCAGGCATGGCCAGAGTTTTTGATATGCCCAATAAGATTTCTTCCCTTCTGTTCTTTAAATAGGAAGCTGACTGGCTGCCCAATGCCATGTCACAATCAGCTTTTGAACATCTCCTTAAAGGGGATATATGACTCCCTGTATGTGTGTGCGCACACACAAGGGAAGGGAAATTCAGAGAAGATATTGAGAAATGAGAATCAGAAACTTCTTAGGTGTGCAGACCTAGCTGTGTGATTTTGTGAATCCTGGCCTATGTAAAAATACTTCTGCATTTGTATGCATATTTTCTGTGTGTTCAGCAAACATTTATTTAATGTAATCCCAAATGAGTTTCAGTCTTTAAATTACTTCAGGTCAAAGCTTTTTTGAAAGATGTCTTCTAATTATCTTAAAACCAATGGATTAAACTAAGCAGGGTCTATAAACTGGGACACGTTTTGCATTATAAAATGCTAAACTTGCATACTTTAGTCTAGTTTAAGCTCCTAGGAGAAAGCAAAATGCCTCCAGTCTGAAGCAAATCTGACAATACAACATGTCAGATGTTATTTATTATTTCTATAGTGCCAAAACATCAAGAAGAAAGAAATATAGAAAATATTAAAGAAAAAACCAAGTCCTGCCTGTAGGTGTATAATCTAGAGAGAGAGATGAGTTGGAAGACATTAGTACAGTGGTGCCTTGACTTACAGACTTAACTTGTTCCAGAACTCCGGTAGTAACTCGAAATGGTCGTAAGTTGAAGCACCATTTCCCATAGGAATGCATTGAAATGCAATTAATCCGTTCTGGCTGAAGGAAAAAATCATCAAAAACAAAAAACAAAACACTGCAAGATCCATTGGAAATGCGATTAATCCCTCCCAGCTGAAGGGGGGAGAGAAAAGCAAGCAAAACATGCAAGACCCATCGGAAATGCAAAGAAAGCAAAGCAGAAAGCAAACAGAGCGTGCAAGACCCATTGGAAATGCAAAGAAAGGAAAGCAAAAAGCAAGCAGAGCGTGCAAGACCCATCAGAAATGGGGGGGGGACCCAAAAAGCAACCAATCCCTGGAAGACCCATCGTAAATTGGGGGTGGGGGGGACCCAAAAAGCAACCAAACCCTGGAAGACCCATCGTAAATTGGGGAAAAATACCAAAAAACTAACAGACCCTCCAAGACCCATCGGAAATGGGGGGGAACCAAAAAGCAAGGAAACCCCCCAAGACCCATCGGAAATGGGGAAAATACCAAAAAACAAACACCCCCCCCCAAGACCCATCACAGAACAGAAGCATAACCCCCCCAGCTCAAAACCACGCTGCAAAACCGAGCCAGTTTTTAAAAAGCAGAAAGCAGCACCTTATCTTACTAGGGCTAGGCAGTCCGAAGCCTCCTCCAATCACACACTAACTGCTGGGGCGAAAGAGCTACAAAGAAGCAGCCTCTTCATCTACCAACGGTTAGCAATTTGAATTTCCTGCCTTTTCCCCTTGCCTTTTTCTATTCATAACTGGAAGCTCCAGCCACAAGTCGAAGCAAAATTTTGTAGCCAGAGCTGGTCGTAACTCAAAATGGTCGTAAGTCCGGATGTTCGTAAGTCGAGGCACCACCGAACTCAAAATGGTCGTAAGTCGAGGCACCACCGCACAGTAGTTAAATACTAGTTGCTGCCTGTAGCATCTTTAGGCCTAGGAAGGGAACAGTGAAATTCTGTTTTCTGATGCATGAGACTTAAGCTTCTGTTCTTTATGCCATGAAAACTACCCTCGCCCACTAAATTCAGATGTTCCATAGTATAAAAGTTAATAACATAATCCATTTTCTTGTTATAAACGTATAGTTCGACACATGAAAAGAAGAGCAGAACAAATATAACTGTGAAACAAGGAAGATTTTATTTGAAGCATAATACCCTGTCTGAAGATATTCCTATTGCAATTATTTTTAAGGTAATTTTTGAGAACATGTTTTTTGTTACTACGTTTAAAAGCCTGTAGAAGAATTTTGAAGGCTTGAAATAATATACCAAAATGCACATGTGGTATATGTTTGTGTGAAGGTAATTAATGTTGTTCTTTTCTTAGCTGTTACTCTGCATCATAGCATCTGTAACTTTTATTCACTGGTAGTGGGTTCTACCTTGGCCTATGAATCACACCACTGGCATGATTGCCATTTTCTTTTGTCTCCATTTTTTAAAAAAAATGGATGCAGTTCTCGGTGCAAAAAAAGAAGCTGTGTCAAAATAAGTTTAGAACTCTGTATTTTAGAAAGGAAACAAATGTGCAGGCAGATATTTATTTTAAAAGGAAGACCCTCCACGGATATCCTTCCTAACTGGCAGAAATATTAGTTTGGCTATATTGGTTTTACTTGAATGTCATTCCCTGTTTTGGGGATTGTCCTGCAAAGCAACTTAAATAAATCTCAGAATCGTTGCCAGAAGAGGGCAGCATGTGCTCATAGTCTAAGGCAAGTATGTTTTGAAACAACACCAGGAGGTTGAGGGAGGGACTAGTATCAAGACAACCTGTGGGGTTTAAGATTGTATCGATATATTTCCATAGCAGGAGGGTCTTGAAATGCAAGTTTGCCTTCTTGATAAGCAAGAAGCCTTTTTCCAGAAGAGGGTGCCTCCAAACAAATCTGATGCCGCTTCAGATGTTATATGATGTCCCTGCCAACTCAGTTTCTCCCTGCATAAGTATGAAGAATGCAGCTGAGTTATGCTTTCCTGCTACAGGCACTAAGGTGTCCCTTTATGAAAATACAAGAGTGTATCTTATGCATGCACATTTATGGTCATTAGGTTTAGTGGTAAGTTAGATCTTTAATTCTCAAGGAGATTTGTAGTCTTTGAGGGAGAGACATAGAAAGGGGATAGCAGACCACTCTGCAAATACCTTGTTATAGAGGGAGTATTTTTACTCTGCTTTCCTTCACCTGGTGCCCTCCAGATGGCTTACGATATGATCCTCTAGGCTAGGGCACAGGTAGCTGGTTTGCAGTACACGAGTCCCATTTTGCACACTAGTGAGAGTTTGGGATGTGAATATAATGGTCCACAGCAAGGCACAAAAGTTCACTTACTTGTTCCCCCCTCCCTGCTATGTGGGTTTGTTAACTTGAAACCAAGCTCGTTCCCTGACTGGGTTGAAATGGATGGTGGTGGGTCCACAGCAAGGCACAAAAGTTCACTTATTTGTTCCCCCCTCCCTGCTATAACCCAGCTCGTTCCCTGACTCGGTTGAAATGGATGGTGGTAGAAAAATGATATTGGAAATATGCATATTTACACAACAGAATTATTTAAAAAGGGAGAACAAATACAGAATCCTTTAGTTTTTTTTTAAACATCAAGGATATGGCGAAAACATATGAAAACTTTTGCTCCCGCTATATCCCCCTTATGTGCTCTACTGGATTACTCAAACTTTGAATTTCATGAGAAATATGTGCAATTTAAACGTTGGAAACAAACTGGAATATATAGAATTAAGGATTTATTTGAATCAGGGGAACCAATTGCTGTTAGACAAATAGAAGAGAAAACAAAGCAACTAAGAACCAATTGGCTACAAATAAAACAAATAAGGAGCTTTGCAATGCAATTATATTAAAAATCTGGCCCTATAAGACCACTAATGGAATTTGAACAATACTGTATACAAGAAGATAAAAAAAAAAGGATAGGATTGACTTCATTAATATATAAATGTACTATTGAGAAAGAAGGGTTCAAGGGTAGAAGAGCCAAAGCATCCTGGGAAACAAATTTAAATATTAATATATCTGAGGAGGTTTCGACAGGAATATAGAATAAATATCCATATATATCCGTATCAGCGAAAATGAAATAAACAGTTCTGAAGGTTGTTCACAGATGGAATCTATACCTTACAAAGCTACATAAAATTAACAGGGATATATCAGATAAGTGTTGGAGAAAATGTGGACAAAAGGGAACATTTGGATGCATTTTGGCATGATGTAATCAATTGGACAGAAATACTGACTAATCAAAAATAATTGTGAATGAAACATTACTATTATTTTTAGCATTTGTAAGGGGGAATGAGAAGCTATTTATTATAAATATTATAGGGACAGAAAGGTGTGAAATTGCAGAAAGCTGGGAAAACGCCCAAGTTATTTCATTACATATGTTTTTTAATAGGATATGGCAAATGCTCTTGATGGAGAAATTAACCAATAAGACAAGAATATACAGAAGAGAAATAAAGCGCAGTCGGTTTTTTTGAAACTTGGAAACTTTTGTTAAAATACGCCAATGGACTAAATGCAAAGTCACATGATTTAGGAAATAATTTAGATTGCTCAGATTGTTGGTCGGTAACTTTGTAGGATGGAATGGGGATTTGAGTTTAAATGTAATTTTGTTAAATGGTGTGAATAGCTGGTGTTTAGAAAGTTCAAATATTTAGTAGGTAAAATGAATGTTTAATTGCATTATCTGTTTGTAATGGGATTGATTAAAATAAAGATTTTGGGGGAGGGGAAATAACTGAGCTGGTGAAGAGAGCAAGTTAAGTTGCTTATTACAATTATGTATACCTGAGTGGCAGTGTCTAATACTTTGGTTTTTGCCTTGTGAAAAACTTACAAAAAGATTGATGATCTCAGCCTAAGGGTTTGTTTATCATTGTCTTCCAAATCATTAATTTCATTGTGAAATTATGTGTAGGTAATTATAGAGCCTTTGACTGTGTGGACTGCAGCAAACTATGGCAAGTTCTTAAAGAAATGGGAGTGCCTGACCACTTTATCTATCTCCTGAGAAATCTGTATGTGGGACAGGAAGCAACAGTTAGAACTGGATATGGAACAACTGATTGGTTCAAAATTGGGAAAGGAGTACGAGGAGGCTGTATATTGTCTCCCTGCCTATTTAACTTCTATGCAGAATACATCATGTGAAAGGCAGGACTGGATGATCCCAAGCCGGAATTAAGATTGCCGGAAGAAATATCAACTACCTCTGATATGCAAATGATGCCACTCTGATGGCAGAAAGTGAGGAGGAATTAAAGAACCTCTAAAGGAGGGTGAAAGAGGAGAGTACCAAAATGGTCTGAAGCTCAACATTAAAAAAAA